CTCTTTGTGCTGGTGGGGACCTGCGTTCTCTGTTGTCTCCTACTCCTGCCCTCTCTCTGGGTCTTGTGCAGAGCCCACACGACAGGCTTGTCACAATGCACACGGAGACATGTAGGAGGAAGTGTTCTGCAAGACTGGCTCAGAGGCAGCAGGCCTGGGACTAGCAGCCTGATCCCTTCATTTAGTCTAATGAGCATGTAAAACAGATGCTCTGTCCTCAGCTGTTCTGGGTGCCAGGGCCTCACCGGTGGGGCAGAGAGACCATCAGCAATAAACCGACCACATGCTCCCAGGTGGGGCTGTGTGCACGTAGTTGGGGGTGGGTGTCACCACAGGGCAAGTGCTGGGGTGGCCTGGAGAGGACAATAGGTAAGCCAGTTGGGCTGAGGGGATGGTATCAGCATGGGACACGGGTGGCAGATAGGAAGGAAGGAATGGCTGCGGAAGGATGTGAAGAAGCAAAGCAGTCAGATGGTGAGTCTTGGAGGCCTTGACAGGAAGTCTGTCTTTTATCCGTAAGCTTTCAGATGCTGCGGGAGGTTAGAGCAGGCGCGGAGGTGATACCCGGTGAGCTTGTGTCTTCCAAAAGTCGCTCAGCTGCTTTGTGCAGAAAGAATAGTAGGGAGGCTAGGTTGTTGGGAGGCCGCAGCTGCAGGCCCAAGTTGGGTTAGGGCTGGAGTGGCAGAAAATAGAAAAGATGGGCAGAACCGTGGTGTCTTCAGAGACGGGACTGGCGACATTTGCTGTTGGGTGGTACACACACACAGGGAAGCATATGTTGTGTGTAACGTAAGTGGTGGCTCCTAATCCCCATCACAAAAGTGACACAAACAGAATTGGAAAGTCCGGAGGGCCCGAGTCCTGAACACACAGGACGCAACTGCCCCTGGTGTCCAGGCAGGGCTCAGGCTCATGGTTGCATGGCTGCTGGCTCCTGTCGCCCAGCCCCTGGAGGACATGCCACTCCGGGACCGCTTGCTGGCGGTGCTGGAAGAATTAAAAGTTTGTTGTCAGTCCCTGAACGGAAGGATGGAGCAAGAAGACAGTGGTGGGAGGAGCGAGCTCTGGTCCCAGAGGCCCCCAACTATTCCCCTCCCCGTCTCTCCCCTTGGGCGCCCTGAGGACTTGCAGGATGTGGGTCAAGTGTGCCCGTAGTGCCTGACCTTGAGTAAATGCTCCATAAGTTACTTCCTTGTAGTTATACAAGACAAAATCATTTAACTTGGGGAAGAATTGAGCCACAGAAATGTTACCAGATACGCCAGTCCTTGGTACGTTCATGGAACATTCCTGGTGCCTCGGGCGCATGGGGCAGCTCTGCTCTCCGGGAAGGCCCGCGGGCTCCACACTGGAGGCCTCCACAGCCAGAGCTGGGCGGCTGCCTCAGGAGTCTTCAGGTGTCCCCGGGGGGCGGCACCCTGGGAACCTGGACCTCACCACAGAGGTCCGTAAGCCCCCCGCTCTGGGACCCTGACGGCTCTCCTGTCACCACAGGCAGGGTGATAGGAAAGTTCTATGGAGAGGACGGCCTCCCGACCCCAACCCTGACCCGGGTGGAAGCCGTGATGGCCCAGGGCGCAGAGGCAGGCCAGCGGGCGCTGCAGGAGAAGCAAAAGTTCCCCCCGTGCAACGCGGAGTGGAGCTCGGGCAGGGGCAGCCGGCTCTGGTGCTCCACGGAGAGGTAAACAGGCTCCCCTCGTCCCGGGTCACAGTTGGGGCCCCTGCGTGCTCTGGTAGCCCCGGGTTCAAGTCCCGGGCCGGATCTGGTGGGTGGTGTCTGCTTGAACTCCCGGGAGGCCTGGTCTGGGGATGAGATGCGGCAGGACACCCTGCGACACCGGCTCAGAGGTCCACACGCTTGAGGCTCCTGGGAAGAACCGGCTGGTCCCAGGAGCCTTTCCCATAGAAACCAAGAGAGGTGAACCCAGTTGGGTGGACGCCCAGGGCTGATCCTAAGGTGCTTGGGGGATGCTGGGCCCCCACACCCACCCAGACCCAGCTCCCCCGAGAACAGGAAGGCTCCTTCCTGAGTGCGAAACGGGTGATCCACCTTCCTCTGTGTCCCCGTCGCTCTCTGAGGTGGATCTCGTGCGAGGAGAGAGAGCCAGGGCTCAAAGCCGTCCACCTCTGTGTCCATGTCTCATCCACCTCAATTCCAGGCATGGGGCAGGAAGAGATGGGGCCTCTCCAGGGTGACCAGGTCTTCAGAAGGAGGGGCCCCAGGAGCCAGGACCTGGCCCATGACGCTGCCCACTCTGGCTTCACTGCTTCCCCGACCCCAATGGGGCCTGAGATCAGAGAGGGCCTGGGTGTGGACAGAAGGGGGGCAAAGGTTCCCACCTCTGCAGCTGTGCTGGTATCTGGGGGGCAGAGCTGCTCCGACGGGCAGGGGACACCCATGGGCACCGGTCTACAGGCACTCTGCCCCTCGGTGGGGGGAAGGACAGGACAGTCCTTCCCCTGGGTGGGAGGAGGGACGTGGGCACCCCGCCCCCTCGCTGGAAGGTCCCTCTGCCTGGGGACAGAGGTTGCTCTGGCAGTGTTGGGAGGGAGACCCATCCTCCGCCTTTGGAGCTCAGGGACGAGGACGGGGCCTGACGAGGGGCAGGGCCGCCTGCAGCTATGCTCTGTCCCGGGGCCTCACGGGTGACCACTGCCTCGCTTGCGCACCCGCACCTTAGGGCCTCCGACCCTAAAATGAAGACCCGGCTGGGCAGCACTCCTGTGGAGCTCACGGGGAGCCCAGGAAGGGGGGGGCGGGCTCCACCCTCGCGGGGGGGGGGCTGGAGAAGCAACGCTGCAGAGGGGGGCCTGGGGAAGCCAGGCGGCCTCCCTGCGGCCTTCCCCCGACTCAGGAGTTCCTGTTGGTAAGAAGCCCTCTCCTCTGTCCCCAGCGGAGGCGTGAGCAGAGATTGGGTTGGTGTCCCCAGGAAGCTGTACAGGCCAGGTGCCAAGGAGCCGCACTGTGTGTGTGTAAGAACAACTGGACCTCCGAGTGACCAGGCACCGGGCCTCACTGCACACGCAAATCGTGGGGACCTGGACAACCCTGGCCTGGGGGAGTATGCAGGCTGCCCGCCTCTGGCCGTCACATGCTCCTTCCCACTGTGAGCCGGTGTCCTGGGGGTGATCCCTCCCAGAGAGCCCGGCCTGAGCCCCTAGTCCTGTTGGTGCCCCTGTCCCCGGACCCGCTCATGTCTGACCCTGTAGACCCATGGGACTGACTCCCGGGTATCAGGCTTGGGCTCCAACCACGTCTTTCCCACAGGCAGGTGGTGGGCCAGGCCACCCCCCCCCCATACCTCCCAGGCCGGTGGAGGCACTGGGGGCACCAGCAAACCCATCCCCTTGCAGCTCAGACTGAGGCAGACACGTCGACCTAAGTTAACCGCGTCCGGGTCCCCCCTCCAGGTTCTGAACGCTTGCAACCCTGACATCCAGCACCTTCCTGACAACTGAGTCCTGCCTGAGCCGGACCCAGGCCCATACCGTGAGCGCAGATGGTAAAACATGGAAGCTTCTGCTTACGGAGGCAGCCAGTGTAGATGTCTCTGAACAAAGCAGCAATTGGAAGCGAGGCTGTTTCATTTGCAAACACACAGAATGAAGTGCGGGAGTGTCTGTGTCTGATGAAGCGGTGGTTCTGGTGCTGCAACACCTTCTCTGCGGGCGTGTGGCCAGAGGGGCCCCCCCACCCCCAATGAAAACTCCCGGAGCACTACACACAAACACACACTCTCTCTCTCTCCTCTCAGCCTGGTTCCCTTTGCCCCCACACCTGTCCCCTGGAGCACCTCCTGGGCACCTGGACTGCACGTTGCATGTCTCCCTGCGAGGTCCCCACTGCCGGGGCTCCTCACCCACCCCACCTCAGGCCCCCAGTTTTCCCGTTCCCACAGCCTCTTTAGAGAAGTCTCGCTCGTCCCAACCCCCCCCCCCCCAAGCCCTGCACGCTGTTGTGCACCGTCACCCAGGATGACCAGGTCACGGGATCTGTGACGTCTTGTGTCCATGCACCGGTGTGAATGCTTTTGCCCCCCCAGCTGCTGGGGCCGTCCAACCCCCTCCCTGCTGCCACATGCCTGCCCCCAGGGCCGCCTCCAGGCTGTCCCTGTCTGCGCCAACCCAGAAATCCTGGGCACCTCTCCCTGAGCAGGGGCCAAGGGCTCCCCAACCGGGTGCAAGTGCGTGGACTTGGCTCTTAGCTGGCAGGTGAGGAGCCCAGGCCTCGGCCACGGGGCTGAGCCTTGGGCACCAGGCTCCTCCCCATCCAGCTCCCCTGCGCCCCTCCCTGGCTCTACATGCCATGCCTGGGGTAGATAGGAGCACCAGGTATCCCTCTGTGGTCACATGGGGAACGGGGGAAGGAGGGCAGTACAGGTGAGGCCAACCCACAGGTCACAGAGGGGACTGTGTGGGGCTGGGTGCAGACGTCAGGCTCTGCCCAGACTGAAAACAGGAAGGACACCCTGCTGTCTCCAGGCCAAGCATCCCCTGGGTGCGCACTTCCTCATCAACACCTGCCTCATACCTTGGCAAGAGGAGCTGCCGGAGCCGGGGAGGCCGCCCCCCAGGATGGACATAGGATTTGCTGAGATAGAACCAGTGCTGGGCATGGCCACCTCAACAGCATCCAGAAGGGGCACCTGAACGAGCTGCAGCCCACCCCAGTGTGGAGAGCCTGCAGCCAAAGGGAGCCCCCCCGGACCACAGCCACACCCCTGCTTGTTTGGCTCTTGGACAGCTATCGTGAAGGACCCCACACACGGGGTGCAGCTGCATCCAGAAATCCAGAGTCCCCTCGAGGATGCCCCCCCATGCCCGCAGACCTGGCTCCCGTCAGCCCTCATTGGAGGAGCCTCGCTGTGTACTGCACACACCCCGTCTTTCCTGAGAGGAGGTCACAGAGTGAGCGGGCCTCCCAGGCACAAATATACTGGCAGGTGAAGTGTTTGGGAATTCAAACAGAGGGCGGGCGATTACAGAAAGGGACTCACATGTCAGGAGTTAAAAATCTGTTTTTAATGTGTCTTGTTCTTCTGCGTTAAAAAGTAACTACAAAGGTCTTATTAAAGTTTCCACTTTAAGTGCACAATGTTACCTCATTGTATCATAAGGAGTTGTTACAGAAAATGGAGAAATACATTCCAGACATGGACTCCCCATGTCCTGGGCCCACCCATGAGGCTGCTGCCCATCCTGCGGGCCCAGGGGTAGTCCCAGATGTGGCCTCCAAGTCCTGCCTCACCACCGCCCTCCCCCACTCACAAAGCTGTCACGGGGACAGCCAGCGGCACACCTCAGCCAAAACAGGATGCATCTTGATGTCCAGGGGCCACCTGGATACTCGTCACTACAGAAAAGCACTGCTGTTGTGTGTGACAGGTTAGCATGTCACTTAGCCACAAAGGGAACTGCGCAGGCGGGGATGGTTCCTCCGAAGAGTCCTTAAGGCATCTGTGCCAGCTCCCAGGGCTTCAGTGTTGTTTGTATCCCATCAAGCGCTGCTCACTGGCTCCTCCTGAGTTCCCGCATTAAACTACACTGAGCCTGTGGCTTCCTGCGCCTCCTCTCCACGGCTAGGGCACCTCAGGTTAGGGCCATGCACGCTTCTCCAGGGCTTGTCCCGAGGCAGCCATCCCAGTTCCAGACAGACGCTCGTGTTCAGGAGCTCCTTCAGCAGCTGTCGTGACCGCATCACACTCGGCTGTGCGCGCTCCTGTCCAGGGATCAGGGTGCCTGCAGGTCTAAGCACTGCATGGTCCTCCAGGCCTCCCTGCACTTCAGCCCGCAGACAAGGTCAGCTCAGGATAAGGTCAGTGGGATAGGCGGGGGGCAGAGGGCTCCATGCGGGGGCGGCCACAGTGACCTGGGGCTGAGGTAGACGGCGAGTGGCACGGGGACCCCACTCTGGAGAGTGGGTGGCAAGCAAGCTATGCGGTCCCGTCTGGCCTGGACCACGCGGGGGCTGGGTGGGCGGCGCACAGGCAGCAAACGCCCCGTGCAACGCTCCGTCTGACACATTGCTCGACGAGACAGCACTAAAAATCAGAACTAAAAAGTCCTAGTGTAGGCACTTAAGTTGGGTGGGAATTCCCGCATTAGAGGATCAAAGCAGGGGTGGTCAGCCACCCGACATGCACGGGTGCGTGGAAGAGGCCACAGGAGCGCACTGTGCAGTCAGCCTGGTGATGAGCAGGAGGCAGGGAGCACAGACTTGGCATCAGCAGTGTTCTTCCCACTGGACTCACAACTGGCAACTTTGAATCAAACTGACATTCTGCTCCTTGGACTCAAGCTACGATTCACCTATCTCAAGAACAGCGGCAGTTCTCTAGCGTCAGGTCCCAAGCAGGGCAGTGATGGGGGCCGCGGCGATGGCCACAGAACCTGCTGCATGCAGCCCAGCGGGCACCCTGAAACCCCGGAAGGTGCCCCATCCACACGTATGCAGACACACTTGACGCTGGCACAGAACTCACACAAGGCGCTCCCGCCCCACGGCTACTCGGCTCCACAGCCGCCTGGACTCTCTGAGGAAACAGAAGCTGGACTCGACTATCAGAAGCAGGACCGTAGACATGAAGGGCATGGAGGCACGACTAACAACGATAACGGCAAGGTGGACAGCACAATCAGCCTCGTCCCCGACTGTCCCGCCATCCTCTGCTCTCCACCACAAACGTGACAAGAGCAAGTACAAAAGTACTGGCTGCCTTGAACTTCATCTGGAGCATAATGACTGTCCTTTCCAACTGAAGAAGAGCCCAACTACCTCCCTGTGGCCCTGCTCGGCACCAGAAAATGCAAGCTGACCACAGGCCTTGCCTGGGCAACCGCCAAGACTGGTCGTTTCTCTAAAAATTCTATAGAAACATATCACAGATTTAGGGGACGGGAACAGTTCTAATTAACTTTTTCTTTTAAACACTGTGCACAAGTTCATATTAACATAGAAAGCATATATATCTCATAATCACAGAAATATTAAAAAGTAGCACTCTGGTTTATCAGCTCATCTTACACACATTTAGGCAGCAGGATTATAAATCCACAGCAACAGAGGGGACACACTGCTACCCAGAAAAAAAAAACCTAAAAACAGGCTGTGGCAAAAAAATATTGAGTCCCTTGACAGATACCCACACCCATTAATGCAAAACAATGAATGTAGTGGTTGTTAAAGGTCTGCATGGTTGACCTTGTTAGGCTCTGAGAACACACGTCAACACAAATGCTCGTCTCAGAGTTCTTTGCTTAAAGCAGTGGTACGAGTTTCTCTGTAATGTACACTTGTAAAAAACTGGCCAAACCTTCGGAAGGAGAAGTTTGGTGCCGCAGGGTGAGCATACGCAGTAGCAGTGACGAAGGCCCAGGAAGCTCCGCAGCCACATTCCGCAGATGAGCCTGCGTGTTCCAGGCAGGCTGCGCACAACTGGGGGGACCTGCACCTGCCAGCCTGAGGCCGGGCGACACCGTCCCCGCTGTGGGGCCCAGGTCACCCTCTTGGTCACAGGGACGCCTGCAGGACGGTTTCCCACAGACTGTGTGTGCACTAAGGTCGGATCAGCGCTGATCGTTAGTCCCTAATGCGTGGATGTGCAAGGCTATTTCTGAACATGGATTTGTAAATTGTAATCACCCACAACACGGCTACATAAAAAATGCAGCGTGATCAAAGTGCATCCCGGCCAGCACACCTCGTGACCAAGGCCTCAGCGGACAGGACACGGCCAGACGAGAGAACGAGACCACGCTCCCAACACCCAAGAGCGTGAGTACTGGTAAAGCTTTCGGTTGTTAAGGCCACGATTTTTCAGCTCTCATCTTTGAACCCTGTTTAGAAAGATTTTACCATTTTTAAAGGGATAACTCACTAAAAATATCAGCTTAGGTTTAAAAAAAAAAAAAAAAGACTTCGGGCAAGAGGATCCTGTATTGTTTATGAAAACACTGTGCACACAAGTCCACAGCCACTTACCCTAGAGTGACGGCAGCTCTTACCCCTGTGGGGGCCCTGCCAGCCCGCTGTCCGTGCAGGAGGTGCAGGGGTGCTCCACATGGACACTAAGCTACTGGGAGGGGAATGGTTTTCCGAGTGTCTTCGTATGTTCCAAACAGAATGGGGTACAATTCCTGTGACAGGTGCCACTGGGGCCACTCGGCCTGGTCCTCGGCGTCATCCAGTGACCTCGATCACGGACACATGGACAACCCAACAGAATCTTCGAAATGGGGTGGATGACAACTGGGTCCTTCATTGTGCAGTCTGTTCCGTAGGAAGACCAGAAAGCCACGCCCTGCTCTGGGTGGTCAGGCTGGTGAGCAGAGCAGCTGCCAGGGAGGTGACCGGGTATGGCCTGGGGTCTCCCTAGGAGACACCCCCCAGAGTCAGGACATCAAAGCAAATGTTGCAGACGCGCACGGGCTTGTTGAGATCAAACTTTATGATAGGAATCTCCTTGGTTGAGCATTTATGGCACAGGAGGCGTCCGCAGTGGCGGCTGTGGAAATAAGCAGGGGGCGTGAGGGGGGGCCCAGAGAAGTGTGGCTGGTGGTGCCTGCCCCCCACCAGCACACACCCTAGGGAGTCCACGCAAACACGGCCCTAGCCCATGGGGACCATACATGCTGGCGGACGAGCCTCTTAAGGTAAAGGGCGGCTCAGCCACAGCCAGAGAACAGGTTCTCCCGCCCACCCCCCACCCCACTCCTGCCCTTCTCCAGGTGCACCCCCCAGCGCCCCCATCCCTGCTCAGGGCCTGGCTTCCTGGCGTCAGGGAGTAAGGCAGAAGCGGGGACATGGGCAGAAGTGCTGTTGCCCCGTGGCCACAACCTCGCAGGCTTACCAGTGATGTTTGCGAGTTGTGACTCCAAACTTGGCGGCGCACTCATAGCAGGTAGACCCGTCGCACCACGGAGGCTCCTTGGACAGCATATCTGCAAGGACCCACCCCTGTCAGAGCCATGGAGCCAACAGAGGGATGGCTTCTCAGTGACCCAGGGGTGAAGGAGTAAGGCGCTCTGGATGGTCGGGGGAGTGCTCTGGGGCAGCACTTGCAAGTGGCCTGGGGCAGAAGGGGCCAGGCCCCAGGTGGTGAGACAGCGTGGCATTGGGGGGGGGGGGGCGCACGGTGGGCAAGCCAGCGAGGGAGGGGCAGGTCTGTGAGCCCTGGTGGCTGTACAGAGTGGGTAAAGGTGGCTAGGTGGTGGTGCGGGCACCAGAGGAGGTGGCAGGAGAGGCAGAATGAGGGGGCAAGGCCTGGTGTGAGCTGTGGAAGCTGCGACCAGAGCTCACAGGGAAGGCACAGCATGAGGAGTCAGCGCCTGGCACCTTCCGCACTGTCACCAGGGTGGCAGCTCCCAGGGTTCCTGGCAGTCGGTGAGCTCAAGCCTCTGCCCCTCACCACAAAGGGGCAGGGCAGGGGTGAGTGGGGGCTGGAGGAGGTGGTGGCCCGTGTCAGCGAGGGGACAAGGGGTGTGTGGAGAAGCTGCCGGGGCCATGCGAGGGAGTCCTGCCCACAGGATGGGGTCGGGGAGTGCAGGACTGCTGGGACCCTCGCGGAGATCCACACGGCATTTGGGTTCAGAGGTCACCAGCACAGGGTCTGCGTCCACCCTGAAGGGGCAGGAAAGGGCCACTCACCTAACAATCTAAACAGAAGCTGCTTGGTGGCCACCTGGTAATTGAAAATGTTGACTCCCTGGTTATTGTTGACCCCGAGGCGAGCCCCAGCACGGACGACGGCGCGGCACAAGTTGGCGTTCCCTTTCATGTAGGCCAATAGCAGCACTGGAAAACAGACCCACAGGCCAGGCTCCTTCTAGTCTGGCCCAGCCTAGTGGCAGGGCACAGAGCGCAGCCCCCACAGACACCCTGGGGAGGCCTCTAGGGGATGCAGCCTTGTCTGGTCACAGAGCTGCCCTGGAGCCCGCCAGGTATGCAGCTCAGGACAAGTAAGCAAAGCCCCACCGAGGGACATGTGGTCTCAGCTGCCCACTGCTGCCCATGGCCCCACCCAGCCCCATCACGCACCTGCCCCACACCCTTCATTGACATTTTCACCTAATTCTCTACACAGTACAATCCAACGGGAGAAGCCCAGAGAGGCTACAATGGACCCACATCACCACCCAGAACAGGACCGAGCCAGTCCTGGGAACCAGGCCTACGTCACTGGGAGCCCAGACATGAAGCGCCTGCCTGCCCATTTCCTGGGTCCTGGACAGTGGCACCGGCTGCGGGGTGTGTGGGTCCCTCAGCCTCAGGCCCATCACCGCCGGCCTCATAGGACAGAGGCCAAGAGCTGATGAGAAAGTATTTGGTCCCATGCTAAGGTTTGGGACGCCCCTTGGTGACACTTCTGCTGAAGGCCAACGATGTCAGTGTGGCGAGATGGAGGGTGAATAGGAACGTGGCAGAAGAGAGTCTGGGCAAGGAGGATCTGGGTTCCAGCTGTTTCCCTATTTGGAAAATGGGGACACGCTCCCTGTGCTACTTAACATACGTGGGGTAGCGGGTTTTCCACGAGAATATAAATGCAAGACTACGTCAAAAACGTGGTGACAGCTACACAAATGAGCAGGGACTGCAGCAGCGAGAGCAGCATGGGGGGGCCCAGGGAGGGTGAGCACACCGTGGCACAAGGGGCAGATGGGGACAATGACAGCAGGCGGGCAGGCTGTCTGGACACGAGGATGCTCTGGGGCTGCAGACACTGCAGACGTGCATGTGCCCAGGTCAGACACTGCCTACCCCAGCGGGCATCAGTGACAGATGCTCCGGGAGCCCATCCCAAACACTCCAGGCAGAGGGTCCTTCAGGAATGGCACGTGTTCCCATGCTCCCGTTCTTCCGAGAAGCAGGAGCCTCCCAACATACCTGTGTTTCCTTCTGCATCCGGTTTGTCCAGAGGGTACTCAGGCATGCACTCCAGGAACAGCTCGAAGATGGTGGCCGCGTTCTCTTTGCCATACTGTCCAAGGATGTGCAGCGGCGACTGGCCTCTGATAAAGCAAGATGGGAAAGTTGGGTACAGATGAGCCATGGTCATCGTACACAAAAGATGTCATTTTCTGAACTCTGTGACACTGGATAAATTTAAGGACACACAGGAGGTCATGAAAGTTTTTCTACAAAATATTTTTCGAAAAGAAACTTCCAAGGTACCAATGTTGGTCAAGTGCCCCAAGGGCCAGTTCTATAGTGCACTGAGGCTCCAGCAGGACAGTGACTGCCAGCTGGGAGGGGCAGGCAGGGTGGGGAGCCCAGGCCTCCTCCCAGGAGCCCACACACTCACCGCAGGTTGAAGGCCTCGGCGTCCACGGTGCACTCAGTCAGGAGGACCCGGATGTTGCTGAGCCGACCATGCATGACGGCAAGATGAAGAGCTGGAGAGCAAACCCTTTTACTGTGAGCGCCCAGGTGCCACGCAGAAAACCCCCTCTACAGGGGACACACCAGAGTACCCGTGCCCATTCACGGCCCCTCCAGGCTCCACCACCCCATGCCAGAGTCACTCCTGCAGCCTCCTAAGACTGTGCTATCTGCTTCCACCACAGCCCAGAGGCAAGATTAAATGGTTTTGTGGGAAACCACGTTAGGGGCCCAGGGTTACCATGCCGATGGGAAGCTGCCCAGGGATGAGCCTCGCAGCCCAGAGCCTTCACTGTCCCAACTCTAGTGCTGTAAAACCAGCCTCCCTGGAGAGTAGCACACGGGGCACGGGGCACCTCCACCTCCAGACCGGGGGGACCACTCAGGGCACTGAGCATGGGGCACAGGGGAATGACTGGCAACTACCATTATTTCCATTCTCATCCAGAGCTGCAAAGTCCACTGCATTCTCCAGGAGGACAGAGCAGATGGTGGGCAGGTCCTGCTGGGCAGCGAGATGGAGGGCGGTTTGGCGATGCTTGGTTAATTCGTTCACTTTGGCTCCTGCAAGAAGCTGTTGAAGCTGATTACATGAACAGTCTCTACACCACAGCCAGCGAAGGTCCCCCTGACGGGGACCAAGCCCACCTGTCTCCTGACACCCGCAGAAGGCCTGGCCGGCAAAGCTGGGAGCACAGGGGCTTCACACCCACTCCCCGGCAGGCATAAGCCAGCAGGATGCATCCTAGGCAACTCTCAGGGTATGAGAAAGCCATTCCTTAGGACACAGAAACTCTACTTCGGACTGCATGATCTAACCATGCAGGACTGCAGGGATGTCCACTGTTCTACATAAGGACGTGCACTGCTTATGTAGAGCAAAACCACGTCACAGGATTCAGTCAGGAAAATTACAGTACATTCAAATGACATAATGAATAGTCAATAAGACAATAAAGATTTGGGGCATAACATGAAAAGAGGTCTAGGATATTCTAGTCAAAAAAGGCCAGTTAGAAGACAGTACGACCCTATCTGCAGAGAGAGAGAGACAGTGGGAGGGAGGGAGGATGCGTGCACGCACACCATGAGGGTTTGTAAAAGCAGAGACACCAAACTCAGAGGAATGGGGGGCAAAAGGGAGACAAGACCTGCTTCCTATCCTCACATGCTTCATGTTTTCCCACAATAAGCATGTACTATTTTTACACTATTTTTTGCTGTTATTGTTAAGATTTTATCTTTAAGTAACTTCCATGCCAAACAGGGGGCTTGAACTCACGACAGTGAGATCAAGCATCACCTGTACCACCTACTGAGCCAACCAGGTTTCCCTCCTACATTAATTGTTAAAAGAAAGAAATAAACACAGACCCTTTGACAATACCTGTCCACATGTTCCTTTTGTGACAGGGTTCCGGGCTGCAACCACAGCCCACCATGCCCACCCTGCAGCCTGAGGCCACCCTGGCCTCTCCCCCATGCAGCACTCTGCCTCTGGGAGACCAAGGTCCTGCTCAGCTCTGCTGCAGACCCCGACTTCCAAGTCCCAGCCTGTCCAGAGCTCCGGGCGCCCAGTGAAAGCACCCACGGGTCCAGGAGGACATCGGCTGCAAGTGCTGTGTGCACTGGGAGTCATAGCTAACCCTGGGGAGCTCAACCGGGAGACGGGGAGAGGTTTGGGCAAAAACATTCTTCCAACGTGAACAGGCTCCAGCATCAGCTGTGAGGTCAGGCCTTACAGAGGCAGTGGTGCAACCCTGATGAAGGGGCCCATGACTTTCTCACCTCCCAAGTCTCTCCGATCGATGGACACATGGCCGGACTCTGAGGCCCACCTCTGCCTCCCTGGCCAGTCCCCACACCCACCAGATCCCTCACCAATCGCTCTCCAGCCCACTCCCAGGAACTGGTTTCCCTTGGGCTCTTCACACATGACCCTGCCCCACACCCTCACACCCCACCACAGAGGTCAAAACTCTCTCAGCTCTAACATGTAACAAGGCATGAAGGTTTTCAAAAAAGTATCTTTCAAAAACAAAAATGGGAGATGGGCACCCAGCTGGTGCAGCTGGTAGAGCTCATTTAGGGCTGTGAGCTCAAGCCCCACTTTGGGCATACAGATTATTTAATTTTAAAAAAAGAAGAAAAAGAAGGCAGGGCACCACCCAAGGGTCAAGTGCCCACTGGCTACTCATGCACCAGGTGCTGGGGCTGGTGGGACACAGCAGCAACCACAGCAACCAGGGTCGGGGAATGGATATGCCCCGGGCTCACCTGCTTGGCTTCTCCACACAACAGATAAAGGCTGCTTGTGGTTCTTGGTGTGAAGTGTCACAGGCATAATCTGGTCCCTACCCGCCCCTCCTCTCCACCTCTCCCTCCCCCAAATTTCAACCACACCTTTCTAGAGAAAGCACATAGACTTCCCAGTCTCTGCTTCCTTGCTCAGACTGCTCCCTGGCGGGTGGCACTCTGTGGTACTGGAAAAGGCAGGCTTCGGAGCCAAACAGAAAAGGCTAAAATCCCAGCCACACTCCTGACTACCCCATTATCTTGGGGGAAAGTTGTTCCTGAGCTTACATTCTCTCCTTTGTAAGAGGTAAAACCTTCCCTACACCTCTCTGGGTAGCTTTGAGAATGAGGAGGTGGTAAGCTCCTTGACAAACACTGCTCTGAAAAGCTGTCTGCACCCTGTGCTTGCTGCAGCATGATTTACAAGTAAAACCAAGACACGGAAGCAGCCCAAGCGTCCGCTGATGAACGAATGGAATGTACATGACGGACATTACCCAGCCATCAAAAAGAAAGAAATCAGTGGTAAAATCAGTCTTGGTGCTGATTTTTCGATCTGACTCCAAAAGCAAAAGTAAACAAGTCAGGCCAGAAACTAAAAAACTTCTGCACAGAAAAGGAAATTGAAATCAACAAAGTGAAAAGGCACAACCTATTGAACCAATGAAAATACTGCAAATCCTACATAGGGTAAGCGGCTGATATCCAAAGTACACACAGAACTCAGTACCACTCAATAGCAAATAAAAAAAAAAAAAATTTACAACAGGCAGAAGAACTGCATAGATGTTTCTCCAAAGGAGACATCAGGATGGCCAACAGGCACATGAAAAGACGTTCAATACTACTTGGCATCAGGGAAGTGCAGATCAAAACCACCCTGAGGTATCCCCTCACACTTGTCAGGATGGCTAAAATCAACAACATAGAAAACAACATGTTGGCAAGGATGTGGAGAAGGGGAGCCTTGTGCACTGCTGGTGGGAGTGCAAGCTGGTGCAGCCACTCTGGAGAACAGTGTGGAGGCTCCTCAAAATATTAGACTAAAAATACCATATGATCCAGTAATTCCACTACTGGGTATTTATCCAAAGGAAAAACACTTTTTTTAATACATAAAGAAGTACGTTTATTGCACACATTGTAATAAAGCTTTAAAATGCCTTTACTATCACACAAACCCAATGAACCAGCACAACCAGCACCTCAACTCTGATAATCTAGACCGGCTTCTGGCCTCCCCGAGAGTTAGTTCTCCACAAAGGAGAGGGAGCCCTCTCCCGAGTCTGGGACACCACCTTCCCTAACACATACTGCACGTTGCACAGCGCAGTGAGGACCCTCATGGACACACAGGCACCCATCCCTTGGGAGGGCTCCAGGCTTGTACAGATCCTGCATCACTGGACAAACACTGCTCTGAAAAGCTGTCTGCACCCTGTGTTCGCTGCAGCATGATTTACAAGTAAAGCCAAGACACGGAAGCAGCCCAAGCGTCCACTGACTGATGAACGAACAGAAGGTACACAACGGAATATTCCCAGCCATCAAAAAGAATGAAACCTTGCCATTGTAACAAAATGGATGGAACTTGAGGGTGTTACAGTAAGTCAGAAAAAGACAAATACCATATGATCTCACTTACGTACAGAATCTAAAACATAAACAAAAAACCATAACTTGTAGATACAGAGAACAGATTAATGGTTTCTAGAGGTGGGGTGGGGATTGGGGGTTGAAATGGCTGAAGGGGGTCAGAGGCACAAACGTCCAGTTGCAGAACACAGAAGTCCCAGGGCTATAACGTGGGAACCCACTTAATAATACCATATTACGTATCTGAAGGTTGCTAAGAGTGCATCTTAAAAGTCCTTATCACAAGAAAAAAACTTGTATAATTGTGTGACAGGCATTTACTAAACATATTGTAGGGATGACTCTGCACTACATACAAACACTAAACCACTATGATGTACAAAAAACTAACATAAGGTCACACCCCAATTTAAAAAAGACTATTAAAAAAGAGGTACCGAGTGCGTGTGCACACAGGCGAGCCGAGCCGCCCTGAGCAAGCCGCCTCCCTTGCACCTGGCCCGCCTTACCCCCCAAATCCTGCTTCTTTGCAAGGCCTCACTGGGGCACCTACCTGCACAAGCTGCCCATCTGTTGGGCTCTCAGGACTCTCTGCACCCGCAGCACTGGCTTACTTCCCCAGATTCACACTAGGCACTCACAAACCCCAGCAAACACCCGGGTGAGAGCTTCTGCATGCAACATTTCAGTGACACTTACCAAGTTGCGGACAATGATCTCTGAGCCCGCCTGGACGGCAAGGTGCAAAGGGGTAAGCTTGGAGGCATCTTGGACTCTGGAATTCACGTTAGCCTGGACGCTAATCAGGAACAGGACACTCTCGATATCAGAGTTCTGAACCGCCACGTGAAGGAAATTCCGGCCCTTGTTATCCACCTACAGCAACAGGAGAAGCCAAAACTTTTCTGGTCCCCCTTCCAAGAGCGCCCCCTGAGCACTGGCCAGCCGTGCTGGCCACAGGAGAGCATATGACGGGGCAGCCAAGGCCCTCGGTCCAGGGGGCCCCTCCCAAGAACCCAATCTGCACGTGCCTCCTGCCATGCACACCACAGACCCTCCCTGCACATGCACAGGGCCACAGGGCACACCATGCACCCTCCCACAGCAGACGCTGGGTTAGGATGCTAACAGACTGTCTGCAGGATGGGAAAAGGCAGAGGCAGTGCTTAGCCACGTGCATCCCCATGGGTATCCCCTCCTCTGGCTCTCTCACACCACAGCTGCTGTGACCGCCAGACCCTGCGTGGTGTTGGGAAGTCTGGTCTCTCATCAAGCTATAGCATAACACCACCCTCCAGGCAAGCAGCCCCCACGTGCCACAGACTCTGCTCTGCTGACACAGAGCAGATGAAAGCTCACTTGGACCAAAGCACAGACAAACTGTCCTTATGAGAGCGGTCATGTTGGTGAGAAGTAGGCGCAGCAACATGCCACAATCACAGCCCCCACGCGCATGAGCACAGACGCACTGCTGTTTCTGCAAAGGACTCTGGTCCACTGTGCCCACGTCACACTGCATGTGAGGACAGGTGAGGGGCTCCCCTTCACGAACACACAACAGCAGCTGAGTGGGGCAGAGGCCAGCACCCACACCGCTCGCTCATGCACAAACACTGAAACACCAAGCGACAGTCCCCAACTGTGTCAGGATGGCACTGTGTTCAGATGCCAAGTCTCCAGGTCACAGTCATCAGTGGCTACTCCTGGACCTTGACAGGGCTCTAGGGGCGGGAAGGGGACCCCAGTCCCCCTGGGAGTGGCTGTGGCTGGCACTTCCCACCCCCTCTGTCCCATAGGGCAGTGCCTCCCAGCCACGCTGAGCAACTGCTCAAGATCCAGAGGACAGGCCTGAGCCTGCTACACTGGATGATGACAGCTCCTCACAAACTGTCCCCCAGAGAGCGGCTCCAACATCACACCACAAGCCCCTCCAGCTCAAGTCACATCTCTTCAGGACCCTCATAACCAGGGCAGTTAGACCAAGCAAAAGCACACAGAGACACCAGTGATACCACGTATGCAGGCCACAGGATTCCTCCTCTAAGGGCCCCCCTGTTGGCACCACTATGGGCAGACGCAGGACAGGGGAGCCAGATCTCAGCTGGTACCCACAGTTCACCTGAATGGCCAGACTTCAAGAAAGGGGAGTCTAATTTCCACAAAGACATCATCATGTCCAAGAGATCTGTTTGGTGATGGCCACCTTTTTAATCTCCACATAATGGGCTCCACCAAGTGTGGGCACGTGCAGGAAGCTGGGTGCGGGTCCCTCACCTGCTCAGCAGCCCCAGACTCCCGCTGGAGGATGGCCTCCGCTGCTCGGTTGTTCTTGTACGTCATGGCACAGGCAAAAGGGGTCAGGCCCTGTCTGTCGCGGACACTCAAGTGGATTCCAGGGTGGGAGATCAACAACTGAATGATGACACTGTGCTGGTTGCTGATGGCCACGTGGACCGGTGCTCTTCCTTCTGCATCCTGCAGGGACAAGACGTGATTTCCAAGTCCAGATGAAAGAACAAACTCAGGAAAAATATGAAGGGGATCGCTTTCAAACCAAATTTGGTTCTGAGAACCAGTATTGCCACCCTGTGTTTAAAATCAGCTCTTAAAGAGGCCAAGCCCAGAGAAGAAAAGAGCGGCTGCCATCACCCCAAGCTCCAGTGACCCCGAGACACAAACACACCTGGTTTATTACCATCTCTCTCCTGGAAAGAGAAACTCTCCGTACCTGCGTGTTGACATTGGCACCAAATTCCAGAAGACACTGTACCGTCTCTTCCAGCCCCCAGGAGGCTGCCAAATGCAAGGGGGTCTGCCCATCTCTGGCCTCCTCCTCCCCTTCTCCATTAGCACCAGGTTGCCTGGGACTGTTCACGTCGCAGCCACTGAAATCAAGGAGGAAACGAAAGGTGGGCTCTAAGAGCCAGGCTTCCAACCCAGCCAGAGGCATGCAGATGAACGCATAGTAGCAGTCTCATCCAACACAGAAGCTGCTGCCATCTTGGTGTCAAATACTGATGTCTGGGCCCCACTCCCATTGCTTCTTCTTGGTCTTGGGGGCGACCTGGGCATCAGAACTCTTCAAGGTCCCCCAAGGGATCTGTATGCAATTATCACTTGAGAACCACTGCTCTAAAGGCTCCTCCCATATATCTGCCCCTGAGTGTGACGTGGGCCTCCTGGGGAGACGGGGGGGGGGGGGGGGGGCACAGGGACCACCTGGCTTCCTCCACCACAACCTCCTGGCTGCACGGGGTGAACTGGTCTGACTGGACTACCGGAGCCTCTACGGCCCCCAGGGCAGGAAACTGGCTCAGCTTCTGGACTCTGACGTTTGGGCACCCAAGCCTTTCTCCTCAGAATTGGGTGAAGTGCCTTAAGTGGTGACTTCATAGAACAGTGACCCTCCAACAACTGTAACTGGGGACCCCTCTGACCAGCCGAGGCATGCCAGACCTATAGCTGAAGAAGACACGAAGAGACACGTGGGGTTCTCAGACCTGCGAATAAGAAAGCAGGCGGTAGACTCATTGTTTTCATCGATGGCCCTGTGCAGGAGCGTCTGCAGACACCCACTGGGCCCCGGGCCCCAGAACGTGGCATCACAACCATGTCGGACCTGTGGAAAACAGGTTACTCACAACACTGCACAGCAAAGTCACACGTTTTATTACCACCTCTGAGCTCTACGTGACACCATTAGGTTCATTCTTTCAGGCGAGATACAGTTGATAATCAACTGCTAATTCCTGTGATTGGTACATACACTGATTAGAATGTGCTCTGTCCCAGATGCTGTGACGTTGCTTTGAGAAATACAAGAATACGCTAATCATCACTCTGGGAGCCGTGTTCCAGGAGGGACAGAAAACACACACACTCCTCTGGCCTCAGCGACACACCTGAAACTCACAGTTCATCTCAATGCCCCCTGGGTAAGACCCCAGCTGCATAGCACTTCTCGTCCCATTCCAGGCATTTCAGAAAGCTGAATGAGGACCCCCTGGGTAAGAAAGACAAACCAGGGATCTGGGGACTTATCACCATGTTAATGGTGAGGGGAGCCTTTACCCGAGCACACCCTCAGGAGAGGACTCCCGAGGAGGTACCTTGGCTCTTCCACTTCTTGACAGTGTTGATAAAAACAGCCTAAAACAAAGTGTTGGCCAAGATTATGTTGAACTGCAAGTTTCTTGAACAGGACTTTCAACAGCTCATCCTGGCCCCAACTTGCTGCTCAGTGGGATCTCTTGTCCTGGTGGTTACTCTGTAGGTGACAATCTATCCCCACGTGTAAACAGAGGCTGAGGCTGAGCTTGCTCACCAGGGTGGATGCAATGTCCTCCAGGTTGTTTGCCAAGGCGAGCCACAACGGGGGGTTCCCCTTCTCATCCGGCACAGACATGTCTGCTCCTCGGGTGCATATGGCATCCACTACGAGCGGAAGCTGGTTCCTGATGGCCAGCTGAAGGGCTGTCTCCCCATCCTGAGTCCTGTGAGGACATGCACCCCAAAACCAACATTTGTAGCTGGAGCCAAATGGTAATGCGTCCACCCCAGGCATTCAAGGCCAGAACCCACTGTATCCTTCAAACACACTTCAGGCGCACTGATCAATATTCTTTCGGAGCAGTTTAACCTGTCAGTAGAATCTATCCCTTCTGCCTTTTTGGGAATTATCGCCGAGCCATCCTACTGCACCCAGAAGACAATGGACCAACACCCCAGCGTGTGGGAACCCCTCAGGCACAGCTGCTTCCGACAGCACCTCAATAAAGGCCATCACGCTGCCTCCTTGACCAAACACTCCTCTCACTCCCCAGTCATTCAGGGTCACCTGACGATGAGATAAATTCCTTGAAAATACAGAAACAATAGAAACTTAACCCTGTATTTTTCCCCCAAGAATGTTCTTCATTATGTACAAAATCCTTGTCTAAACAAGTGCTTCTGAACAGGTCCTGCACTGACCTCCGTGCCGTACTGAGCCCGGGTCCTGAGGATTCCCTTTCACCATCCCACAAGTCCACCATCATGCTTTCCATCAGATGGGAGCTGCTCCCGCCTACCTCACGTTGATATCTGCCTGGTGCTCCAGGAGGAAGAGCGCGCTCTTGCTGTCCTGCCGCTGCATGGCCATGTGCAGCAGGGTCTGCCCGTCCGACATGGTATCATTGATGCAAGCCCCGGAGCCCAGCAGCTGTGCTGCGATTGTGTGCATGCCTGGGACACAAATAGGCCCTGACCAACGCATGCTCCACATTTCCCCCGTTGTTCAACATCTCACTGCAACAAACACACCCCCTCGACTTCTCAAAGCCAGCAGTTTTCCACCAGGTATCAGAGGCTTAACCCAAACCCAATGATGAGCCCTGCCCCTGCACGCTTCCCTCCCTTCCTGCTCCCCCACCCTTTGGACGGAGGCCGGTCTGCAGACCCCAGCAGCCTCTGGACAACGCCTTCCCTGCCCCCCGGCAGCCTCTGGCACCACCTCACCAGTCCATAATGCCAGGCCCAGCACCGTCTGATCTCGGGAGTCCTTGAGGCTGAAGTCCGGAATGATTTGCAAGTTGTTGGTGGCATGAAGAGCATTAGCTAAAATTTTTAAAGGAAACGAACACTTGATTTCCCCACCCCCTGGACCACATTTAAAGGACTCCAGAGCTAAGAGCTAGTTGGTTTCCAACTCACTGACTGGCTATAATACAATCCCCTCTGTACAGAGAGAGTTCATAAATCTTCTCATGCAGAGTGGAAGCCCAGAAACCTGGCATTTTGGAGCACAGCTTATGGGAATAATAAAAGTTTTTAAAGCTTAAAATACTGAGTCTTCACAAAAGGAAAACAAACCCACTATGGAAACACATAATAATTATCTGAGTGCAAACAAACGGGGTCAAAACCATGGCCTGGCAGGGCTCTCCTAATATGTAATTCCTACCTTCTTATCAGAGAAAGATGCATTCTACCTGAAATCCTGCTTCCTTCCGTAAGAACAGGGAGGAAATATGCTGGCATTCCTCAGGACAGAGGCAAGAGGAGGATAGGTTCCAAGACAGGCAAGAGGAGAACCTAGGGAGGACTCTCTGAGGGAAGTGGGCCTCCCCATGGCAGGGGCTCCCTGGGCCCCCCTGCTCCTCCCACGGTTCCCCAGCCACCAGCGTGCCAGGGAGACTGAGGCTGCTGAGAGAACCGCCCACTCAAGTGGGGTCTGAGGCTGCAGGGTCCTTGGGTACTGTTCACGCTGAGGCAGAGCTTTGGGAAACACCCAACATGAGAGAGAAGTCGTCTACGGTTCTAACCCCATCACCTGACAGGTGCGGTGGGCAGGCTTTGCCCTCAGCATGTACACAGGGAATAGTGGTCAGGAGCCAGACTACATGCTGACCTAGTATGACCTGAAAGGATCTGGGGGCAAGATAACTCATCAATGGAAGGAACGTGAACTCTGTAACTAACTCCTCAGAATGACCGTTCACAGGTCAGGGTGGGGAGGCCCCAGCTACCCACCTTTCTGCTCCAGGATGACAGACACCACATCTGGGTGATCATAGGCGATGGCCATGTGCAGCGGCGTCTGTAGATAGACACCATCCACTGAGCTGGCAGAGGACACGGCCTCCCGTGGCAAAGGTGGGGCCTCCTCGGTCTGCAGGTTCGGGTTGGCGCCTTGCTGCAGGAGCTCTGCACTGAGGTTGGCCAGGCCGTGCCGACTGGCTGTGTGCAACGGGGTTTCTCCCTAAACGGAAGCAAACAGCCCACCTCAGAGCACCGTCAGGATGGGAGTGCCCGTCACAGAGGGCTGACGCCTGTATTCTCAAACCCAGGTCTCCAGAGGCAGTCACGGCCCTCAGCCCATCCTGTCACCAGCTGACCACGACTTGTCCAACTCCTGCGAGTCCATTCCTGCCTTCCCTATGCTATCAGCCCGGTTTCTTCAATGTTGGCCCAAGTGCCCTCCCAGCACCCTGGCTCCTCATCTACATGTCCCATCATCTTCTTAAACATCTTCAATGATTAAACCGCAGACAACCTCCAAGTGCCACAGAAATATGCCCCGGGGAGGCTGGCAGAGCCTGGACCGTGGGCCCGTGGGGATGGGGCTACGAGTTGGCCCCCACCCCCACGGGTCTCTCTGCCTGGCCCACATCAACCTCATCAGGGTCTCTGATCAAGTCCTCTTTCCTCCACTCTCAAAATTAAAAACATTTTAAACTGGTACTCCACATATTTGATTCAATGTTCAAAAGGCACAAGAACAGACAATGACAATGTCCTCTCCTGCTCCCCCACCCGAGGAAACCCCAGTGCCAGCTTCCTGCATCCTTCCAAGGGCGGAACAGTCAGAAGAGGACATGGACACAGATGCACACACAGCATCTTTCCACCCAAACAGATGGAAACAAACAGAACACACTGCTCTGCTCCTTATTCTTATGGAAGCTAGACCTCATCCATTCAAAGAGTCAAAGACCCTACAAGGCTCGTTGTGAAACTCAGCAAGATCCCACGTCCTTTTCCCTAAAAAAAAAAAAAATTTCCCTTTCCTAGAGGGAACCTTGAACTGTCTCAGCTGGGTTCTAACTAACATGTTTACATTGTCACCTCTCAGTTTTCTGGGCTCAGGTACTGTAAGTCTGTGGATGCCCCACAGCTAGTCACCATGTCACAGGACTCAGACTCCCACTGACCCCCACTGCGCCCTTCCCCACAGACACATGTCATGCTGTGGAGGGCTGAGAGTGTCCTCCTCTGTGGGATCATCTTCTGCTCCAGACCCCCACACCCACATTCACACAGAGCATGCTCCCCGGCCCCCATGGCCCGCACCAGAGCCTACAAGTATGCGAATATCTCAGCCGACGTCCCCGCCATCTGTTCCTGCTCAACAGTCACAAACTCGAATTCACTGCCCAGCAGTTCCTCCTGCAGGCAATTCTCTTTCTCTTCATGGGTGCACCCAACAGCCTCACACTCCCTCCTGCCCCTGCTTCTGAGAGCCTAAGCTGCTGCGAGTATAATTCTGCAAACCCTTTGAAGCCTGTCCCCGTGGGTCCACGTTCAGTAACTGAGGTCAGCACAGCTCCTGCCGACCTAGAGAACACCCACCAGCTCCAGGCTCCACCCCAACGGCGCACCCACATGGCAGCTTCTCGGTATGCTTTCTCAATTCAGAAGGTCATACCACCTATCTACTCAAAACCCTTCACATAGATCATCTCTTGCCATAGGAGAAGTCCAAAGAACTCAACCAGCACTCCAGACCCTTCTCTAAAATCACCCACTTGCCTTCAAAATTGGTCTCTTCTCACACATCTCAGAGTCCTCCCAGTTTTGCTATAAAGGGCATCAGAGAAGGAACAGCTGGTAAACAACATGAGCTCCATGAAGGGTACTTTTTTTTAAAGACCATATTTATTTGAGAGAGAGACAGAGAGAGAACAAGTGGAGGGAGGGGCAGAGGGAGAAGCAGGCTCTCCTGAGCAGGGAGCCCAACATGAGGCTCAATCCCAGGACCCTGAGATCATGACCAGAGCTGAAAGCAGAGGCTTCACTGGCTGACTCCCCCACCCCCAGGCGCCCTCCATGAAGGATTTTTCTAAAGTTGGAGACAAGGTGTGTCTGTATAGTATCAGAAATGAACGGTGGGCAAAACTGGCAACACAAGAGACAGACACAGAGACACAAAACAATCAGAGCAAAGTCAAGAAAGCCAGCGGTGCATTCAGGGACACGCCGTTGTTTGGTGGGAGAGCAGGCTGCGTCCCTGGTGAGTCACCTCACCTCTCGGAGCCTCAACGTTCTGTGCCCCGAAATGCAGGATCTGGAGATGTCGAGAATGCCCCTTCCAGGCCCACTCTGAGAATTAAGAGCCAACATCCTCAAAGCTCTTAGCACAAAGGCTCAAAGTAAACATGACCTTAAAAACAAGCACAGCCTCTCTCCATGAAAACAGCAATAAGACAACTTCACACGGCACCAGTCGGCCTGGCCATACATATGTTACAAGCACTCACACTTACCCTTTCCTTTTCCTGAAACCACACCCTGTGAACCCCATTTTGCAAAGAAGGAAACTGAAGCTCACAAAGGGTCAGTAACTTGCTTACAATCACACAGGGCAGATGAGAAAGAGAAGCCTCGCCCCAAGGCCACACTTCGACCTGAACACTGCAGCGACCTTGAGGCTGAATAAGCACTCACACAGGAAAGATTCAGCAAACACCAAGCGTCATAGAAGATGGAGATCCTAGTGCAGTAAGTTCTGTGTACGAGCCTGGCAGACCCCAGCATCTAGGTGAGGAGCTGATATGCCACACATGTTTAGGGAACGCTTGCTGAATCAACCAACCAACCAGTATTTGGGAACAAAACATCCATTTCAGCCTGGTTTTTTAACCAAGTACATGTATCATTAGGACAAAAATTGAAAACAGAAGCTATTTTTCCTACATATGCACCATTGCCTTTCCCCATAGAGCTACTCCACTTCCTCAGCCGCCCTGGCACACTTACCCACTTGTTCCTGTGATTGACGTGGGCACCGCTGGTTGCCAGGAAAAGAGCAGCTGCCTCGTTCCCCGCCTCAGCTGCCCGCTGCAGTAGGCAATTCCCTGGAGACAGTGAGCACACTCGGTTCCCACGTGCACAACGACAAACCTCCTTGCCCACCTATCCCAACAGACAGCCCATACCCCACACCGAGTCCTGTGTGTGGACGCAGACACTGGACAGGCCCAGGTGGAACAGAGATTTGGTCTGGGAGTCAAAGGACATTCGTTCTCCTAGAGTTCACCACTGGATGCCACCCGAGACCAGAGGTGAGTTCTGTCTGCTGCCAAGGATGGGTCAGAGCGTGCTTTCTCAGCAGCGGTGCTCCTGACCTTCCGGGCCAAGTGACTCTGTTGTGAGGGGGCTGTTCTGCACCCTGTAAAACAACTAGATGCAAACAGCACCCCAGCCTTGCTGTAACAAATATGTATACAGATGCTGCCAAAAGTCCAGGGGACAGGACAACTGTCTGAGAACCTCTGGACCTAGAAGGGATGTTCGACCAGCAAATGCCCTTTACATTTTATCCCTAAGACCCTAAAAGTTTGTTCTTGGCGCAGAAATGTTTTGCTTACTACTATTTTCTAAATAAAAAGCTTAGGAAAAAAACATTGCTTCTTTCCTTCATGGAATGGTTTTAGCCCCAAAGCAGCGTTTCCCTTCCTATTAACATCCATTTCCTGTTTGGATCAACACAAAATCTCATGTGCTGCAGCTATACTATTTGAAAACTCACATTAAATACCAGGACTAAAAGTGGTGAAGAAATGGGACATGGTCAAAACCAACAGTACAGGAAACAGCAGGTGTTGGTGAGGACGTGGAGAAAGGGGAGACCTTGTGAGCTGTTGGTGGGAATGCAAGGCGGTACAGCCACTGTGGAGAACAGTGTGCAGGTTCCTCAGAAAGTTACAAATAGAACTACCCTACGACCCAGCCATTGCACTTTTGGGAATTTACCCCAAAGGCACAGATGTAGTGAAACACTGGGACACCTGCACCTCAATGTTCACAGCAACAATGTCCACAGTAGCCAGACTGTGGGAGGAGCCTCAACGTCCTTCAACAGATGAATAACTAAGAAGATGTGGGATATACACACACACACACACACACACACACACAATGGAATATTACTCAGCCATTAGAAAGGATGAAGCCTTATCATTTGCAATGACTTGGATGGGCTAGACTGTATTGTGCTGAGTGAGGTAAGTCAGTTAGAGGAAGACAAATACCATAAGACTTCACTCATATGGAATCAAGAAAACATGAACACAGAGGAAGGAGGGGAAAAGAAGGAGAGAAGGAAACAAACCATTTAAGACTCTTAACAGCAGGGACTCATTGAGGGTGGCTGGAGGGAGATGCGTGGGAGATGGGCGAGGTAGGGGATGAGCATGAAGCGGGCACTTGTGATGAACACTGGGTGCTGCATGTAAGTGATGAATCCCTGAATTCTACTCTAGAAACCAATACTGCACAGTATAGTAACAACCTAAAATTTAGATTTAAAAAAAAGAAAAAAAGAAATGGGACAAATGCTTTATTTTCATGCTGTTTTTCCTTTTCCCTCAAAGACCAGGATTCCACCTGGGGCCGAGAGCCACCATAACTTAGAAAACCCTAATGAGGGTCCCATCTTCACTCCTGTAGTCCTCCTGGGACACACAAGACGTGCACATGGGCCTCCGAATCAAACAAAGGTAACCTTCAACTGCTAAGACGTGACAGAAAGGCTGAGACAGTGGACAAAGGCCATTCCATGTAAAAGGAGAATTGGAACGAGGAAAAAATAATAATCCTGAACTTGTACCTAATCTCAAAGTATATAAAGGAAAATTGACAGAACTAGCAAGACAGTGGACAAATCTTCAGACTCACCATGAAAAATGTTAATATACGCCCCCAAATTGACAAATCAAGCAGTCCAGACGTTAGTAAGTTACCTTGTAAGATGTACACAGCATGACGAATACACCTGATACATGGACGTAAGCAGAGAATAGTGGTGCATGCTGGGGATTTACCCCAAAGATACAGATGCAATGAAATGCCAGGACACCTGCACCCCGATGTTTCTAGCAGCAGTGTCCACAATAGCCAAACTGTAGAAGGAGCCTCGGTGTCCATTGAAAGATGAATGTAAAGAAGACGTGGTTTACGTATACAATGGAATATTCCCTAGCCATTAGAAACGACAAATACCCACCATTTGCTTCGACGTGGATGGAACTGGAGGGTATTATGCTGAGTGAAGTAAGTCAATCGGAGAAGGACAAACATTATATGGTCTCATTCATTTGGGGAATACAAAAAATAGTGAAAGGGAATAAAGGGGAAAGGAGAAAAAATAAGTGGAAAATATCAGAAAGGGAGACAGAACATGAAAGACTCCTAACTCTGGGAAACGAACTAGGGGTGGTGGAAGGGGAGGTGGGCAGGGGGTGGGGGTGACTAGGTGACGGGCACTGAGGGGGGCACTTGATGGGATGAGCACTGGGTGTTATTCTATATGTTGGCAAATTGAACACCAATAAAAAATAAATTTAGAAAAAAAAAAAAGAAAAAAAAGAGAGAATAGTGGTGCAGCCCACAGTGAAAGGATGCATATGCTTGTCAGGTACCCGTCAAATTTTCTTAAGAACTGGGTCTGAAGGTAGCTAGCATCCAAGTCCTAAATATCAAAGAACCAAGTTCTTATATATTGCAGCCCTCATATAGTATGATTATATTCGAAATGAATAAATTATGGCCAATGACCAGTATACCTTTGTAAATTCAGAGCAATTTAGGACCAATCTCATTTCCAGAAGGTCTTCCCAACCCCCCTGGTGTGGAGTGCCCTGACTTTAGCATTCAAGTCACCAGAGGGGCGACTGAATTTGTTCTTTACTTAAATCATTAAGTTCTTTCAAGGAAAGGGCTATTTAATATCCACCTCCTTCTGGCCCATCCCCATCATCTGTGGCACCCACCCACACTTTATATGTATTATCCTGAGTTCTTCCTTAAAATACCTCTGTATTTTATTTAGTCAGAACAAGGAAATACCCATGTGAAAACAGGGTTCTCAAAGTGTGGTCAGTAGATTCCTGGGGGTTCCTGAGTGTCTTTCAGGGAGTCCATGAGGTCAAAACTATCCTCCTGATGCTCGCTTGTCCCGCTATGATGACTGTGGCACTTATGTCAGATCAAACTGGGGCCCCAGAGCATACCAGGAGTCACCGCGTTCCTCTGCACCACATTGCACCAGCCAAAAAGGCACAGTCCTTAATAGAGCAGTAAAAATTACTACATTTCCTAAATTTCAATGGGTACCTATCCTTCCAGAATTCTGTGTGACATTTCACTTGTAACGGGAAAAATCCAATAAAAAGAATATTCACTTAGAAAACAGCTAAGGCTTTGGAACGCCTGGGTGGCTCAGCAGTTAAGCATCTGCCTTCAGCTCAGGGTGTGATCCTGCAGTCCCAGGATCAAGTGCCACATCAGGCTCCCTGCCTGGAGTCTCCTTCTCCCTCTGCCTATGTCTCTGCCTCTCTGTGTCTATGTGTCTCTCATGAATAAATAAAAATCTTAAAAAAAAAAAAAAGAAAATAGCTAACGTATACAATGGAATATTACTCAGCCATTAAAAACGACAAATACCATTTCCTTCGACGTGGATGGAACTGGAGGGTATTATGCTGAGTGAAATAAGTCAATCGGAGAAGGACAAACATTATATGGTCTCATTCATTTGGGGAATACAAAAAATAGTGAAAGGGAATAAAGGGGAAGGGAGAAAAAATGAGTGGGAAATATCAGAAAGGGAGACAGAACATGAGAGACTCCAAACTCTGGGAAACGAACAAGGGGTGGTAGAAAGGGAGGTGGGTGGGGGGTGGGGGTGACTGGGTGATGGGCACTGAGGGGGGCACTTGATGGGATGAGCACTGGATGTTATGCTATATGTTGGCAAATTGAACACCAATAAAAAAATTAAAAAAAAAAAACACTACAAGTTTGGCAGCTTATCAACAGTAGAAGATTCCTCTGATAAGATCAATGGTGACATTAGTAAACAAGAATCTAAAATACACAAACATCTGGAAGATCTGCATAACTCGGTGAACCAATATTTTTCAAATAATCAAGTTGTGATGTTATAGAATCATGTATGGAGAAAAGATTCATTCAAAGCACAAATGGATCCTGGATTTCAATATAAGAGTATGAAAAGTTCTTGGTACAGTTTCAGATTCCATATTACAACTAACTTTAAACTATCACTTGGTCAACTCTGCTTGCTGTGGAATCAGAGAAACGCATACACAATTATCTGAGAAGGCTCTGAAATGTGCCCCCTTTGCCGGCTACATAGGTGTGAGAGTATGTTTTCCTCACATACTTTAACCAAAACAACATATCTCAAAAGGCTGAATACAGATGCAGATACAAGAAACCAGTCACTCTTCCAACTAATTTTGTTTGAATATTATCCTTCATAATAAATGATATATGCTAAACATGTAATGGTTTGTTATTTAATACATCTTTTAAAAATTTCTCAGTTTTAATTTCTAATAATATTAGTTAAATACCTCAGCTATACCCTATCGAAACCAAAACTCTTTGAGATATCATTTTAAGAGTGTAAAAGGAGTTCTGGACCTCACTGCCCCCAAATAAGTGTTCCTGCTTAACAGACTCAGAGTCTGGCTAAACTTCTTAAAGCATAATCTTGGAATTTTACTATACTGAAAAGCACAAACTAATTCTCAAAACAATATACCATTCAGTTTCTAACCTTTTGGTAAAAAGGCAGACGTGATGTTTCACGGCCCTCCAGACCTACCCTTCAGACCTAAGCACCAGCTCTGGGGGCACCACACTTTACCTGTTACGGTGTCAGGGGCATTGGTGTTGCTGCCCCGCTGGATAAGTCTGGCTGCAAAGCTGTTTTCATCAAATGAAGTCCCATTCACCACCGGGAGGTCTTCAAAGGGGTTCACTGAGTGGTCAGGAGACATGGTGACGTACTGCACTGCAAGCCACAGAGCAGTGCTGCCCTCGTGGTCTTTCAGCTCTAAATCTAGCCTGAAATAAGGAAGCAGCAGGAACAGCAAATAGAACCCTCTTCAGACACTGTACTGCCAACAGCCTCTTTATGCACATTTTGAATGACAGTTTTTTAGTTTACTTTTACTTATTAAAATTTATGACACTAAAAGATATTTTAAAGGAATTATTTTTCACTCACAATCCCACCCTCCCGACTGTTTTTTTCACTGCTCCACGTGCGTACCGTTTGCACTGCAGCAATTGACTGAACACATATTCATTCCTGGCCATGATGCACAGGTGTAAGGGAGTCCTACAGATGGAAGAGAAGAGGGGTCAGAACAGGCATCGGTCAGGACTCCTCAGGGCAGGAGGCAGGGTCGCCACCCACAAGAAAACCCCATCTCTGCAGCAGTGTCTCTGCGTGCTCTGGCCAACAGCTTTCCAAAATCATGTCACTGTTTACTCAGTGGTCCAAAGGACAAGATCCACCAAAAGGAAGAGATAATAAAACGCTCTCCAGTTGAATGCTGACTTGCACCAGGTCTCCATATTCTTAAACAGCAGTTTGTTTTCCCCACATATCCCCCACCATTGTGAAAACACATGTTTCTCTTCCTACAGCTCTCGTTTACACTCAAACAGCCTGGCAACAGGCAGGGACTGCTGAAAGCAGCATCTGAGCGCTTTTCACTGTGCGTATCCAGCCCCCACACACCCTAAAGGGCCCCCCCCACCCTGCACCAGCACCCATCACAAGGGCAAGCATCTGCTGCAGCAGGAGAAAGTCAAAGATCCAACAGAAGATAAAAAGGATGCAATTACTTAGGGAAATAAAGTAATTATCACATGATAATGAGAGTTCAGAGACCCATCTCACTCAATTGCAGATCCTTCCACACATGTCCATGTCCCTATCCTGACAACTGCACAGAGCTCTGTTCTTAGTTTGATAGGTTTCTCTAGGGTGTAAAACACTGAGCTGGTCCCCCTTGCTGGTGGTCCCCTTCTGTGCCTCCCACAATGCTGCTCCAAAGATACACAGCTTTTTCATGGGCTCTAAACCACAAGGAATCCTTAACAAGGTACTTCTGGGGAGAAGCAAAGGGGACACAACAAAGGCTGCAGAGATGCCGAGGGGAGAGCTGATCGGGAACACGGCAGATGGCCCAAGACGGTGTGCACCCCTTCTTCACAGCACCCCACCAGCTCTGACCAAGATGCTGAGACAAAGTTCCCTTGCAGAAGTTGGACCAGTAACCACCTGAACAAGACAGAAACTGCGTACAAACCCATGGACCTCAGTTCCCAGCACGGAAATGATTTCCCCAAATGTCTCTGGGTTTAGTCACTCCTCTCATCGGTCTGACAAACCTTTATCTGTGACCTCAGGGAAAATCAGACTGAATAACAAGCCCCAATCTACTAGTTATGTGCCACCCTAAAATACCATTCTGGAAACAGCACTGAGAGCAAGCCATCTAACCCCACTTACCTGCCCTTGCTGTCCTGCATGTTGGGATTGGCGCCGGCCTGCAGAAGAGCCTCTGCGATCTGTGCCATCTCAGACATCACATCTGCTGTGTGTTTCTTCGAACTGTACAATGCCACAAGGTGCAACGGTGTCTCCTGGGCACCCAATGTAGCAGCATTGACAAGTGCCCCATTCTTAATGAGGAAGGTGGCAGCAAAGAGATCTCCTTGAAAAGAAACAGCAGAAAAATGGGTCACCCACAACAACACCAGGGCAAGCTCTTCTGGCCAATGCTTCCTGGGAAAGTCAGTAACTATGGACAAAAAAGAAGGAGAATCGGGCATGTCTTCCCAGAACATCCGGGACACCTGGAAGCGGAAACTCATTTTCAAGATAACAAAGTCACATACTTGAATCTCAAAGGCCTCATTCAGTTTCTGATCACCCGTTGTCACATGTCCTGTCCTGCGCTGCAATATCACTATTTAAGTAAACCAGGCTTCTCCACTTAGAGGCCTCTCCTGGTCATCAGCCCTCAAAGGCAGTCTCAAGATTCTTCTCCAACACAACTGATGTCCCTCTGTCATTTCCTGACCACCAATCTGCCATACCTGCATACAGGTTCCTTTTCAGAGGACAATTCTGTCTGATTTATTGTGATTCACAGATTTTTTTAATGTTCTATTACGTACAAACAAAAGTCTCAACAAGAAGTCTGCAACTGATGGGACACCTGAGTAGTTCAGCGGTTGAGCATCTGCCTTCAGCTCAGAGCGTGACCCTGAGGTCCTGGGATCGAGTCCCGCATCGGGCTCCCCGCAGGGAGCCTGCTTCTCCCTCTGCCTGTGTCTCTGCCTCTCTCTCAGTGTCTCTCATGAATAAACGAATAAAATCTTAAAAAAAAAAAAGAAGTTTGCAACTGAATATTTAAATAAAGAATCTGTACAGCTACTCTTTATAAAAACTTCACATGGTACATTAAGTGGTTGTCAAAACAAAGCTTTTTCCTAAGTCCCCTCCACTGCCCTAACTCTTGGAGCACTTAGAGGTGCAAGAGTCTCCCTGGGGCTACCTACAAATACCAAATTAATTCTGAATAACTTACATAAAATCCAGTAAATTCAACAGGTGAGACTGCTGTCCTCGACTACTCAGTGCTCTGTATGAGGAAACACAAACTACCTTGACATCCTGACAAAAGGCCAAGAATTAAGTTTACATAAAGATACCAAAGGGATACAATTCTGAAAATACATGGCTAAATTCAGAACCAAGCAATCTGACAATTTCACATCAAAAATACTTGTGGAAAGCAGTTCAAGTAAGCTTGTCAAGTCAACCTGGAGGATGATAGAAATTAAGCAATCAAATTTATGATGATTCCTTAAAGTTTAATCCTCCTTGGATTTAATTCCATTTATAACTTTTTAAAAAGATTTCATTTATTTATTCCTGAGAGACACACAGAGAGAGGCAGAGACACAGGCAGAGGGAGAAGCAGGCTCCCTACGGAGAGCTCAATGCCGGGCTCAATCCCAGGACCCAGGGATCATGACCTAAGTCAAGGCAGACGCTCAACCACTGAGCTACCCAGGCGACTCTTCCATTTACAACTTAACGCATGCAAACACACTCACTATACATAAAATTAATGTTTCTTAAGAAAATAAGGCAAGGGATCCCTGGGTGGCGCAGCGGTTTGGCGCCTGCCTTTGGCCCAGGGCGCGATCCTGGAGACCCGGGATCGAATCCCACGTCGGGCTCCCGGTGCGTGGAGCCTGCTTCTCCCTCTGCCTGTGTCTCTGCCTCTCTCTCTCACTGTGTGCCTATCGTAAATAAATAAAAATTCAAAAAAAATATTTAAAAAAAAAAGAATTTAAAAAAAAAAAAAGAAAATAAGGCAAGAAGTGACACCTGCGTAGCTCCCTCAGTTAAGCATCGGCCTTTGGGATCCTGGGATCAAGTTCCACGTTGGGTCCCCTGCTCAGTGGGGAGTCTGCTTCTCCCTCTACCCCTGTCCCTGCTCTGCTTTCTCTCTAATAAATTAAGAAAATATTTTAAAAAAAAAGAAAAGAAAAGAAGGCAAAAATAGCAATGCATCATAAGATAATGAACTATTAACAGAGCAATCACCCAATTACTAATCCATGATGCTTGCTTTGAGGCATTCTGTCTAGCCGGAGCGGGGAAGCAAAAGTTTCTTCTGGGGACCTCCAGGAAGTACCGACAAGCTCACTGCAGGGAAGTCTTCCAAAGCAAACCTCCCCTTGTCCGGCCAGGTGTAACCCTAGCAGGCATGACACAGCACTTTGCTAAGTTGTCCCAAGGGTTCAGCTGAAACTCAGAGGTACTTTCTGTAAATTGTCTCCACTTCACCAAGGTCTACAAAATAAATTTCTTACAAATCACATCCTTCTTCAGCTGGAAGATCCCCCAAATGCAGCGCAACTGTTGCTCTGCTGGTTTCACAACCGTCGACTTTCTACATATGTCTTAAGCCTGCTGGCGGTGTTAGGATGGATGGAGGCCAGGTTGCCGAAGATGCCATAGAACTTCTTTGCTATGAAGATCATATGCAACAGTGTTGCTTCTGTAGTTGATCTGTTTTTGTCTTTGCATCCAGACACATTCACCTGCCCCTAATTCTGTTAGTGCCATAGATGTACCCTCCTTTGATTCCCAATCTCCACATGACAATTTTCTCCTTTCAGAGACACCTACGACAAGTTTTCTTTTATAATCTTGCAATATTGTTCATCTTTAACAATAGTTCTGCAATCTGAACATCCAGAATAGGGCTTAGGATTTCAGGAATGGCAAAGTTCTCAAGTCTATTATCTGTATTCCTATGCTCGTTTTCTTCTAAGATTTTACTTACTTGAGAGAGAGTGCAAACACGCACACGAGAGCAAGGGGATAGAAAGTGGGAGAGAGAGAGAGAGAATCCTCATACAGACGCCTCACTGAGTGTGAAGCCTGACACGGGGCTCAATCCCACAGCCCCAAGATCATGACCTGAGCCAAAATCAAGAGTTGGATGCTCAACTGCCTGAGCCACCCAAGTGCCCCTGTATTCCTGTGCTCATTTTCATTTGACTGTATGGGTTTCATCCGGTCTTCAGTGGACATAGAATTTCAAAATCCTCTGGTTTTCAATACCTCCTATCTGCTCTGTACTTTCTTCTAAGGGACCATCTTGCCAGAGAATGTCAGCTTGGGCAAGGAAATGCTCAGGTTGCCACAAGCCCCTCAGATGCTGATTGATCCATGTCTGATATACCTATCTACCTGCCACTGTCTAATATAAAATAGGCACCAGGAAAATGTTTGGGAAGAAAACAGATCGACTGCTCAAGGCTATGAGATCCCATTTCAACAGACTGGCTCTAATTCCAATCAATTATGATTTTAGGCAACTTCAAATTTCTCTAACCAGCCCCCAATTCTTTTCTGGGGTCTGGGGGAAAGTGTGATCTTTACCAACATCACATGCAAAAGACCAAAAATTAGCTTTCTGTACACCAGAATATTGGTAGAGCTCTGAAAACAACAACATGCATGTTGGGGGCTAGGCTGGGTCAGGCCTTTGCTATTCATATATACATAGTGAGTTTCTCCATAGGCCCTGATGTGTGGTAGGAACAACACCCACAGAGATTCAACCTAAGAGAGAATATGTACAAACATTAGCAACAGAATAAAATATCCCAGAGAAAGCCAGTTACATTCTGGAAGTGGAAAGGAAATCCAGGTGTTGGGACAGAGGGCCTTAAAATGAAAAAGCCTGCTGTATATGATGGAGAGCTAGGATATGGTTTCATACCTTTAAGGTCAGCCCATGCTCCAAACTAAGAGAACACAGTAAACCTAAAATAAGACTACATTATGAAAAACTGATAATACACTATACCTATGGAAGATGAACCAGACAAAAATCTACATTACTTGCATATATATATATATGCACACAAATACATGCATCCCACACAGAAAGTTATTTAGGAATTACTGGAAGTTGAAAATCGGGGTGTTTTATGTTAAAAGAAAGTTAGTCCCCATGGGTACACAATCTAGAGGGAAAAGACAGTGGACATCAAAGAGCAGAACAAAGGGAGAGAACGGAAAATACCAAAAGCACCATTTATAAAGTTTCTGTCACTAAGAAAACTTCTAATACATCCTGGAGAGATTTCCGTCAAACACAGCTACAATAACAACTGTTTGGGGATGCCTAGGTGGCTCAGTGGTTGAGCATCTGCCTTCGGCTCAGGGTGTGATCCTGGGGTCCTGACATGGAGTCCTGCAATGGGCTCCCTGCAAGGTGCCTGCTTCTCCCTCTGTCTGGGTCTCTCTGCCTCTCTCTGTCTCTCTCATGAATAGAGGAAAGGGAAAGGGAGAAAAGAAGAAAGAAAAGAAAGAGAACGAATGAACAAACGAACGAACGACTTGGTGCTTCAAAGTTGGCTACTTCATCAACCCCATCCACTGGCACCACCAGGTAAACAAGATATCACTGTAATGGCTTGTCCACATTAACATAACCCTAACACCACCAACATCAAAACAAGTCTACACATGACCTCTCCTCTAGTGCAGCTTCCTGAGCAGGGCTGTATTCAGGGAACCCAGTAACATTCACCATGAACACAGCCGGCCTCACACTGCTCCAGGTGCTGGCACCATCTGTGCACAGACTGCAAGGAGTGAGACAGGAGCACCTGCTTATGAGACCCGTCAACCACCAATGATTATTAGAAGGTCAATGCTGATCACCAGATATTTTTAAACAGCAAGGAGTCACCTTCTTGCCCTGACTAGCTAGTTGGAGGTGGCCACCCTCTGGCCACTGTATGCCTCCTGTAAGAAGAGGATTCGTCCAGAGACACTGGCTGCCCATGTCATTCTTCACAGAACTGCCCAGCACAGATTCTAGTGGGCATCCAGAATGGACCCACATCTCAGATAGCAAAGATCTTTGCTCAAATTATCAAGAACTTAAAGCAAGGTTGACAGTTAAAATTAAGTACATTACTCATTTAGGAAGGGCCACAGAGTGACGGCTCAACCTAAAGAAGGAAACGTGAAAGCAGCCCCCTGGGAACTGAAGCTAGTTATGGCACAGCAGCTTGGAGCTGACCCTACCACCCGGCAGTCCCAGTGCTGGGAACACTGGAAAGCAGGAAGGATTACTACTCTGTACATAAGGAAAAGGAGACCCAGCAGTAACTGACTGACTTCTTCAAGGCCCCTGACTCCGTGGTGAGCCAGGGTTCAAACCCCAGCCCACCCAAGCTCTGACCCCAGTGCTTAGTCTACCATGCCATGGGCTACTCTCCAGAGCTGGCAGCAATCAGGACGATGATACCAGTGCCAGAATGCACAGGCTTGCAGGCAACTGATCAATTCCGAGTGGAAGATTAAGTCGCCTGAAAATAAGAATCAAAGATGCACTGCCAATTCTTGGCAACTCTCGTAACTAAGCAATCACCAAAAAATTTAATATCACGTCAAGGATGCTTTTTCATCGCACATAAGAATTTAAACTCCCTAAGAGGAAAGAAATAGAATTCTGAGATTTTTTTTTTTTTTTTAGTAACAAGTGTATTTGTTTCCAAAATAAACATCCCAGACACCACAGAGTATAGGAAAAATAATTCCCCATGTGGTGGGAACCTTCCCCACTGCACACACACCCAGTGTGCTAAGTACCCAACAGCTCTGCACAGTGCAGAGTGGCGCCTGGGAAATGCATCTGCTCTCGACGCTGACACACTCGAAGGAATTCCTTCCTGATCATGAGCAACATTTTCCCCTGTGTCAACCAGCAAGCTTCACACTCTAACACATGGCTTTGAAATATATCTGTATTAAAACCTTTGCCCAAAAAGAACAAAGCCACAGCTGCAACAGGACCATATTTGAAGTAACTACATTCCACCAACTAGGAGAAACTTGTGAATGATAAAATATAAATGATGCCAGTATAATAATGACAGTAAATGTAAGAGTGACAGTGCAATAGCACAGTAACAACAGCACAGTACCAGAGCAGAGTAATGATAGCTACGCAATTGGAAAGGTGAATATACAGGATTCAGATGGGCAGAAACCAGTACACTGTCTTTGTGGTCCACATGTGAACAAAATGTGGCCATGGCTAAGTCTTTCAATCAGGTCATCTAACCCTCTACAGAATTAAGATTTAGCCTTTTTGAAAGCTGTCATTTCGTGCTGGAACTCTGCCTCTGGACAGCTTCTCACTCTGTCAGAAATGATGACTGCAAAGCAGAGGCAAGCAGGATCCATTTAGGACTTACCAATTAATAAGGCCACAGGAAAAACCAAACAGAAAAGATTAGTATTTTTCCACTTGAAAAGTTAATTAACATTAAAATTCTTTTTAAAAAAAAAGATTTTATTTATTTATTCCTGAGAGACTCCCAGAGAGAAAGAGAGAGAGAGAGAGAGAGAGGCAGAGACACAGGCACAGGCAGAGGGCAAAGCAAGCTCCATGCAGGGAGCCTGACGTGGGACTTGATCCCTGGTCTCCAGGATCATGCCCTGGGCTGAAGGCAGCGCTAAACTGCTGAGCCACCCCGACTACCCTAAAGTGTTTTGATTTTATCACTTCTATATTCTTCCCACTACTAACAGCAACATAATCAAAACATAGCTACAGTTTCAAATAATCTTCCTAGAACAAAATGAAACTCTATCACTTTGCCATGACAGAAGTCTAACCTGTACAAGTGAAAATTCTGAATCTGAGAATGTGTTTACACGTGCATGGTTTTGATATTTTCCCTCTCTTACAGTCCCCAAACATGTAAAGTCCTCCTGGCACAATTCCTCAAGAAAGTGATACACGTCCACTGCTTACAAGTCACAGCTACACCTCCCTCTGGTCTTTCCTCTGGGGGCACTGCTGACCCCAGAAGAGCAAAAGAAACCAGGCACAGGCACTAGCCCATCCTAGATCACAGATTCTACATCATGCGCAGACAGAAAAAGCTTTACAGAATGTAGAATGTGTACAACAGGGTCAGAGAATCTCAAAAATTACTTGGATTAAAGTAAAATTGCCACCAGAGAAAAATACAAAACATACTGCTTCTTCCTACCTCTTTGGATTCCTTTATGGAGTAAGCTCCAGCCATTCTTGTCTACCATGTCCACATCAGCCTTGTGGCTAACCAGCGTGGTGGCAATACTCTCTAGTCGTCGTGACAGTGCTAGATCTAAAGCAAGGTCTCCATTATGGTCCACTTCATTCAGCTTCCCAGGGAGCTGCAGAGACATATCATCTTTTTATAAAAATACCAAATTACAGTGCTAGAACACGTATACTCTCCAAATGCGACTGGATTCACAAACTACTCTCAGGCCTCCTTGAACACATGTCTTTCAGGGAACACAGAATTAATGGGGATCACAGAGCAGACACCAACACCGTGGAAGACAATGAGGGCCACAAGGGAAATGCAGATAGTACTATAGGAACACAAAGGCCAGGTTAGAGGGTCAGAGCCCAAAGGGGAGACAGCTAACGTTTTCATAAAAGACTGTGGCTTAATATCTAATTCCCGACACAACGTGATGTCTCCCTGGGTACTGGACACCCAGTCTAAAGCACATTATGTTCCCATATGTCAAGAGCAACTGTATTTCTTCACTGGGCAGTGCAGTCAGCAGAATAAAAGCCCCTAAAGATGTCCATGTCCTAACTTACAGAACATGTGCCACCATCCACAACATAAGGGACTTTGCTGGTGTCATTAAGGTTAAGGACCTTGAGGGAACACATCCTGGATTATCCGGGAGGGACCCATCTGTCTAATCATATGTGTCCTTAAAAGTAAAAGAGGGAAGCAGAAGGAAGCAGAAGAGCAGAGAGATGTGACACGAGGATTTGAGACGCCATCCCTGGCTCAGAAGAGGGAAGAAGTGGTGGCCTCCAGAAGCCAGAAAGGGCCCCCAGCCTAGAGTCAGCAAGAAAATGGGGTTACTAGGCCTATAACCACAAAGAGGTAAATTCTGCCTGCACACCAAATGAACAGTAAACAGATTCTCTCCTACAACCTCCAGAAAAGAACACAGCCTGCCTACACCTGAACTGTGGACAGGTGATGGCTGCACTGGACTTCCAACCTACAACACTGTACGGTAATACATGTGCTTTTAGCCACTAGGTTTGTGACAATTTTTTTATAGCAGCAAAAGAAAACTAAAGCAGAATTTGGTACCTGGCAGCTGGGTACTACTCCAACAATGACCTAAACACATGGAAGTGGCTTTGGAAATGGCCAACAGGCAGAAGCTGGAAGGATTTTGAGGAGCATAATGGAAACAGCTCAGACAGCCCTGAACAAACAACACGTAGACAGATGTGCCTTAGAAGACTGTGGTGGTGACAGTTTAGGGGCAGTGAGGACAATTTAGAGAAAAACAAGCCATGTATGGTTTTGGGAAAAAGCAGTTACAGTACCTGTGAGTCCATCTCAATTAGATAGAGGAAGACCACATCCTCTCTCTCTACTTTGATCGCCTTATGTAAGGGGTACTCAGTCTTGGACTTGATCATTTTGTACAACAGCTGAGCACTCATGCTACTGAAGTCCTCCTTGCGCAGGTCATCCTGAGGACAGAAGGACAGTGAAAAGGGAGCAGATCCGACACACCAACAGTAACGAGAGATGTTCATGAAGAAGCCCTGAGAACGTGTCTGGCCCTACTACAGGGCTCAGCACAAAGAAGGTAAAGAAGGAAGGGGGAAGTAACCTGCTCAGGTTTGCACAGGAAGGAACACAAAGCCAGGAACCAAGCCTGTGCTGTCCACAGCAGCCCTGCTGTGCTTTCGGAGGCAGTAAAGCACCACTGACACCCAGCAAGGAGGCCACTAGGAGCCCTCTGTTGGGCGATGGGGTCGTTAGCCCCACAAAGATAGCAGCTGCAGAGCTAATCATAACTTTCAGGGGTGAGGCCCCCCCAGTCAGAGGGTCTTCACTACCGCAAATCTCTATCTCTCCTAAAGCACCACACCTGTTTTGATTCTTTACAATACAATTCTTCTGGACATCTTTTCTCAAAATGTTGTTAAGTACCAAAGTTTGCTATAAAACTGGGCCATAAAACACAGCACTAGGTATGATTTTTTTTTAAATGCAAATATTGTTCTTTAAGACAAACAATTCCGCAGAACAGCAAATCAAGACTTAATGATGGTCTCCACACACCGCAGAGAACGTGGAAAGAGCCGGGCTTGCGGGCAGCTTCTGTGGATGGAGCGTACAGGCAGCTGTTTCTTGACCTGAGCTACCTCTACCTCTCCATTCTGAAATCAGAATGAGACGTTTAGAGCCTCAGCAATCTCAAATGTCATCTAATGCAAGTAAGAGCCAAGAGGTAACTTTCCATAGAAGCAGGCCTCAGCTCAGGTCTCCGGCTAGCCGTGAGGGTGCTTTGCTCACACCCCTCAATCTCTCACTCACCCAGTGACTGGCAATAATTTCTGCACAATAGTTCATGAGAGTGCTGGCACTCAGTTCCTCTGCGGTCTGATAGAAGCGAATACAGTTCCTGACGTTCACCAGAGACATAACACTCTTCTCACATCTGCAAGAGAATATTAATGATGAATGGTGTCATTAGGACAAATAGATTCGTAAGTGAACAAACCAAAGCTGTAATCTGTGTACTGGCTGTCTATGTCCAATAACACTAACATACAAGGTTACACAGAGGAGTTAGGGATAAGTACAGCTGACCTACCATATTTTAAAAGTACAAGAATTGCATTATATAGCACATTGACCATTCTGGTCAGAATCAAAATAACCTCTAAATAAACACATTAAGCATAACCCCCCACTGCCTTATAAGTAATTCCATGAAACTCACAGGTTTATTATACATAGGTGCTGGCAAAATCAAACACACAATAGGTCAAATTCACTCCTTTTATATTTAACTGTACAGGACATATGTACAATTCCTATCAGCACAGTTCTGTAATGCCACCAGTGAGGCCTCAAATTAGCTTCAAGCAGGAGGCTCTGTGTATGCCTCAATAAATTAGTTTGTCTGAAACATTCTCCCAAAGCTGAACCATACGGTATGTGCATTATCACTCAATAAAACTGACTTTTGAAAGTCCACCTAGAAAATGTATAGAGCCAACTGAATTTCACACAGTAAACCCATAGCATGTACACGGTATACACACAGTACACCCCCACTACACCTGAAGCACACCAACAGTACACCTACAGTGTACAATTCACATGTCCCTAACTTATTATAGAATATACTAACACAGAAAAATCAGCTCCATGGATGTCCAAAAAGTCTGCTTACAAGCATCACCACAAGACTCTCCCATGCACTGATAAGAAGGCACCCTTTATGTCAGACAGGCAACCAGGTCCCTGCTGGCACAAAGCCAACCCACACCCTAGCCTAGGAGATGCAGCACTGGGACTGGGGGAAAGGAGGCAAGTGCACAGTCCTTCCACTCCCGTGTCTGCACATCTCCGTACAAATGAGGCTCACCTCTAAAGCATCACAGAGACCTGGCAGCCTACTATTGCTTCATCTGTCCTGCAACACCCACAGAAACCCTTTTCTGATCCTAAGGGCAGAATCAGCACTGACAACACTGAGCTGTGAGGTAAAAAAGACCTGAATGGAGATCCACTGAACTGTCTGTGCCCTGTCTCCTGTTCCATGTAGTAAACACAGTGCTCTTGTTCAGAGGGTCAGAGTATCTGTGTGCATTTTCCCAGGTAAAGGAAAGCTAAGTGAACTGCACACAGTATTTGGTACATACCTGATATGCTCACCAGTTTGAGGGCCTTCTCAAGGCAGCAGCCTCGTTTATAACCAAAATGGACTGGTTTCAGTACTACAGTAAGAAAAAATGATCATCTAGCAGATAATTCTGAGTTTTTACAGGTGAGGGGTAGCTCACAGAGTTGGAGAGAGGCCACTGACGCAGGAGAGAGAAGGGGAAGAAGGATGGAAGTGTTAACAAAGACCAGAGAAGAACAAAAGAACAAACCTCCCAAGCCTCACCAATGAGACCTTGGGGGGGGTGGGCAGCAACAGCTTTGCCATCCTTTCTCCATCCAGCAATAAACGCTGGCACCTATTTTATTCCAAGACTGATGCTTAAGTTCTTTGTTTCTAAGTAACACAGGTGAGGTGGTGTGAAGAAGCATCTCCCACAGGGCACTTATAAATCAAAGTGTTACAGTATCACAGTGAGTTACTGTACTGAGCAACACCATCTGAGCAACCTTCCCCCAAGTGATTGTGACCTGTTATAAAATCAGAGCATTTGGGAGAAGAGTCTTCTGCTTAAATGCGTGGAAATTCTCAATTTTACAATGACAGATACCCATGAACAGCTGTCCTAACGTCCTACCTAAGGGACTACTGATTCACGTCTGCAGAGAAGCTTTGCTAAGCACTCTTACAGACAAATCCCCTTCTTTCTACTGCCAAATGACATCTGTACAAAGATACTCAAATGTGTTTCATGAAGACAGATGTTTTGTTACAACTGGCAGACACTTCATTTTCACCTACCTCTGGGGTTCCCAGAATGCCATTTATTATTTCAAAATGGTTTGCATAACATAAAATTAAACTTACCTTTACATAAAAGACCATGTCATCTCATTTAAAAATTCAGATTCTCAGTTCTTATCTTCTCTTTCAAAAGTAGTAGGACAGACTAACTTTCTTTTTTTTTTTTTTTTTAATTTTTATTTATTTATGATAGTCACACAGAGAGAAAGAGAGAGAGGCAGAGACACAGGCAGAGGAAGAAGCAGGCTCCATGCACTGGGAGCCCGACGTGGGATTCGATCCCGGGTCTCCAGAATCGCGCCCTGGGCCAAAGGCAGGCACTAAACCGCTGCACCACCCAGGGATCCCCAGACTAACTTTCTTTTGGAGATATTTTGGTTTTGTCTTTTTTGAAAGATTTTATTTATTTATTTATTCATGAGAGATACAGAGAGAGGCACAGACATAGGCAGAGGGAGAAGCAGACTCCATGCAGGGAGTCCGATGTTGGACTCGATCCTAGGACCCAGGAATCAATCACGCCCTGGGCTGAAAGCAGATGCCCAACCACTGAGACACCCAGGTATCCTAAGAATTTTGTTAATACATGTTTTAATTTTAGAGCACTAAAAGGATATAGATGGACAAAACAATTTTCAAAGTATAAAATCCAGAATATATTAAGCATCTCACAAATTTCTGTCTAGTTTCAGTATTACTCTGATGTGCATGAAAAGGAGGTGTGGAAAAGATACTTGACAGGAGAAACAATAAAACATTAGCAGTGGCTGAATTACAAATGACCCAGGGCCTTTTCTTTGTATTATTCTGTATTTTCTAAATGCTATACGCTGAGCTTGTATTTCTACAATCAGGAAAACAACTACTATATTAATTGTCAATTTTTAGCATATACTATTAATTCTCTGTAAAAAAAAAAAAAAAAAAAATCAAGGCTCCTGGGTGGATCAGTTGGTGAAGCTTCTTTCTGCCTTTGGCTCAGGTCATGAACTCAGCTTCCTGGGCTGGAGCCCCCACCTCAGACTCCCAGCTCGGCAGGGAGTCTGCCTCTGCACCCCGGCTTGTGTTCTCTCTCTCTGTGCCAAATAAATAAATAAAATATTTTTTTAAATCATCTTTCTGATAATACTTACCAAAAAAACCTTCCTTTTCATCAAAGTGGTGGTAGCATTCCCAAACCTCCGAGATCCCGACATTACAAACATGAGCAATACCTGCTTTATACTGACCTGCACACATTTATGACAGATTACTACCTCAGACATGTGATTCTTCCTGCACACAGCAGTGGGCACTCTGTGACCCTTTAAAAGTTGACATTTGGGGGATCCCTGGGTGGCTCAACAGTTTAGTGCCTGCCTTTGGCCCAGGGTGTGATCCTGGAGTCCCGGGATCGAGTCCCACATTGGGCTCCCTGCAGAGAGCCTGCTTCTCCCACTGCCCGTGTCTCTGCCTCTCTTTTTCTGTGTCTCTCATGAATAAATAAATAAAATCTAAATGAATGAATGAATGAATACATACATACGTACATAAAAAGTTGACATTTGACCCCACCCCCACCTGGACTCCTGGGTATCTCCCAGCCCTGCTCTCACCAAAGCCTCAACAGAGACAGATAACAACTTAATGTTGACATCCAACAATACAAAATTGAGCACCTGGTAATGTTGATGGTTAAGGGCCTACCCAGTCAATAAGCAAACATTTTAATTAAAGAATCCATTACAAAGATTACAATTACCTATACTACTCTGACCCCAGGGCATTTTTATCAAAGCAATTTAATTTACAAGCAAGTCTGTCAAGGCCAATGGAAAAAAGCTCAGGAAATCTGGGGAAAAAAGATACAAATCATATTCAATCTAATTAAAATCATTCTCAATTCACTCTCAGATGGCTCAAATACTCACCCAAACAAACCAGAGTTCACTTCAAGGCCTCCACAGTCAAGTCAGCTTTGCTAACCAAGTACTAGACATGCTTACATATCTCAGACCTGTTGGGGTTTTTTGAGTTTTTGGTTTTAGATATTAAAAATACATTCAAGCTGATGTTAACCCTAGAGCATTAAGAGGAACCTGTGTGCTCATTCATGTGGTGCATGGCAGGCTCAGTGAACAGCAGCCCCACAGTAGTGGCAGCAAGCAGCTCTGGGCTCCAAGGGCAACACAACAGCGGGTGGAGCACTGTTTGAAGGCCATTCCTGTAGCACCCAAGGTGATACGAAAGATAACTAAATGATGTACGTCCCACCAACCAATCTGACTACCAAAGGCCACAAGCCAAACAGAAATCAAAGGCATGACATCATCTCGATGACATTTTGTTCTCTGTTGCTCTGGAAGGCCAACTTGGAAAAGCAAAAGAGAAAATGCAATATAAAAAAAAACAGAGCAGACTATCTCCTTCAGAATCTAAAACGCAGTAACAAATGAAGCAAAAGCTCAGAAACACTGTCTATGAAACCTACTGAGCCATACTCTTGTGTATTAATTCAAGCATTATTGAGTTTCTAGCAAAAACAATATGACCAAGGACTTCACCCAAGTACATATATCACATAAGTAGAATAAATGTCACAGGAAGTGGTACTGGAGGGAAAGCTGAGAGTTTGGACACTATAATCTGCTGTATTAGCTCATACTCAGTTTATCAGCTTACACTATTATGTAATCTCAGGTTAAAAAAAAATCAGTGAAAGAAAAGAGAATACCTAAAAACTGTGGCAAAATTTAGCTTACAAAATAACAAAGCAAGGGAGATAAAATAATCTCCCCACTGCCTTTAAAAGAACACCTTGCAAAAGTTATTTACATTAGCAGAAGCAGCTGTTTTCCCAGAGCTTGGCATAATTAAAGCTCAGCCACCACCATGTGAGGTGCTTGAATAGATGTGCTGTGACTTGCCTCTCCCTGAGGAGCTGGAGCTGAAACCGATTAGCCAGCTTCATCAGCTCAGTCAGGAATACGTCATCTTCTCTGAACTCCAGCTCATCTGTGTAGATCCAGCGGAGCATCGTCCTGGTCACCTCAGGGTTAGCATCTGCTTATGAAAAGAGAGACACTGAAAACAAAGCACCAATAACACACTTATGCCTGTTTGAGGATTCCTAAAACTTCAGACTAATAAATTCTGGTACCCTCAACTCAAATATCATGCAGCCATTAAAAATGGCAATTAATGCTTTTCTGGGCAGCATCTGACTTCAGAAAAATGTTAAAGTTTTGCAAAGGGTGGTAAGTAAGAGAAGCAAACTACTCAAGATGTAAGTCAAGGAGCACCTGGGTGCTCAGTAGGTCGAGTGTCTGACTTTTTATTTCAGCTCAAGTCATAATCTCAGAGTCATGAGATTAAACCCCACATCAGCATGGAGCCTGCTTAAGATTCTTACTCTCCCTCTCCCCCATCCCCTTCCCTCCTTACCTTTCTCTCTTAAAAAGAAAAAAGATGTAAATCAAATAAATTGGGGGGAAACATTCTAAATATATGACAGAGTTTATATCCCAATAAAAAGATCTTACAAACACACATGAAAACATGATATAAATGGTAATTCCCAAGGATAAATAAAAAGGTTCAGTAAACCTTACCAGTAACTACAAACACAAATTTAAACTAGAATACATTTTTTGTCTGAAAGATTCCTAAAAAGTACACCAATTATATGTGTAGAATATTAGTCTAATAACTGAGCAAATACAGAGAAACATATATATTAAGACAGTGAACACAGTATTATTTTTAAAAATGAAAAACTGGAACAAAAATCTTCAGAGTACAATACTGGTAAGCTAATAATTATAGTATATACTCACACTGGAAAGTTTTGTATCAATTGAAGTTATTTAGATCTCAATAATCAACCTAAAAAGATATGCACTACATATCAGGTTCTTAAAAAGGCTAAAAATACATGTATTAAATGATCTCGTTTTTTGGAGATGTGTGTGTATACACATGTGTATCAGTATGTATACACACACACACACACACACACACACACAGACACACACGCCTTTGTGTCTGTCTCCTGTCCAAGTACTAACGAGAGGCCCAACCCTGCTTAGCCCAACCCTGCTTAGCTAAGCTTCTGATCTGTCCTATCAGATAAGACTGAGGACACTCAGGGTGCTATGGCCGTAAGATTATCAGTCTTTTTTTTTTTTTAAGTAATCTCTACACTCTACACCCAGTCATGAGATTGAGCCCAAAGTCAAGAGTCACATGCTCCATGGAATAAGCCAACCAGGTGCGCCTGACTATCTACTGAGACACTGGAAGAATAAACCCTAAAATTAACCCTAGTAGGATCTATAACTTTTCTTTGGGCTAATTTTTTATTTTTTTTTATTTCCCTGATTTTGCTTGCTTTTCTTTTTTCTTTTTTTTGAAAGGAGGAGGAGGAGGGCAGACGCTGAAGGAGAGAGAGAATCTTAAGCAGGCTCCACACCCAGTGTGGAGCCTGATATGGGACTGAATCTCAGGACCCCGGGATCATGATATGAGCTGAAACTAAGAGTGGGATGCCTGACTGAGCCACCCGGGTGCCCCTGATTCTGTTTTAAAATTTGGCTGCTTTCCTTCAAAACCCTCCCTCAATTGTCCAAATCAATAAACCTGACAACTGATAAACTAAAACCTAAATAATTTTCTTAACCACAATTACCAGGGATTTTCTGGGAGCCCTCAAAATTTCAAATGAAGATCAAGTGATCTCCAAGCATTCCACTCATGCCTTGACTCTTCCCTTAATCTACAAAATACACTGAAAATAAATTCATTTTGAGAGTCCGACCAAGCAGCCATGCTACAAGGTGGGCAGAGCACTAAGCCAGCAGGAGGGGGTGTGGTTCCAACTGCACACTTTTAAGTGAATCATGCAGTCTCTATTGCATCCCATCTACTTACACAAGTGGCTGTTCAAGTCAAAGGAGCCTGTAAAAGCAGGAGGAGACGCAGAGGAGCAGACTCTGAGAAGTGAAAGCAGTGGCCTCCACGACCTGTATGGCATACCTGCTTCTAGAGGCAGTCACCCTTCACCAGGGCCGCTGGCACACAAGCTGATCAAAATCTGTGACTGTAGGGACCACAAGAGAAAGAACACCCCAACTTCTGATGTCACCACAGTCTAGGTGCCCACAGCCACACTTAGTAGAGAACTTGAGATCTTTTATGTAGCCAGTTTTGTTGTTGTTTTGATTTTAAATAAACGTTTTATAAGCCATTTGGAAAGAATGGGAATAAACTTAGTAGGCAATTAGCCATTAAATGAAGCATACTGAGGAAATTAATTTCCTTACTTAAATCCTGTACTTAATCAGTAAAACATTGAGAAAGGTGTTCTGAAAATCTTACTATGACTCTGGTTTAACTGAATTGTCTGCAAGTTTCCAACAATTTTTTCTTCATTTATTTTAGTTTTTGATTCATAAAATTAAAAAACTGTGGTAAACAGCATCTTTCAAAAGTAACAGCAGAGTACTTGGGCCAGAAGATGGCAGAAGAGTAGGGTCCCCAAGTCTCCTGTCCCCACCAAACTACCTAGATAACCTTCAAATCATCCTGAAAAATCTACGAATTTGGCCTGAGATTTAAAGAGAGAACAGCTGGAATGCTACAGTGAGAAGAGTTCACCCTTCTATCAAGGTAGGAAGGGGGGGGGGATAAAGAAACAAAAGGCATCCAAGGGGGAGGGGCCCGCGAGGAGCCAGGCTAAGGCCCAGGCGAATGCCCCCAGGACAGGAAAGCACCATCTTCCTCCCCCCCCACCCCCCCAACCCCCCCACCCCCGGCAGAAAGGCGCTCCCAGGGAGTTAGAGCAGGACCCCAGGAGAGCGGGGATGCCCTCAGGCTCCCTGGGACACTAACAGATACCTGCGCCCCGGGGAGAGTGCGCCAAGCTCCCTAAAGGGCTGGAACGCGCCCATGGCTGGACCCTGGACCAGGGAGCAGCTCAGAGGGGGAGGGGCTCTGGCGGAGGCTCCACGCAGAGGGGGCTGCTCCGCCCGGAGCAGGAATGCAACAGTGCAGGCCCAGGAGCACAGGGCACTGGGACACAGCCCAGGATCCGACCCCACCCCCCACCCCCAGGGCAGGCAGAGTCCAGGAGGGGACAGAACAGCAAGGACACTCCTGCCCCAAGCTGAGCAGATCAGCGGCCCCGCCCCCGGAGCATCCAGGCCCCTGCAGACTGAAAGCTCTGTAGTTACTGCGGGAACTGAATCCAGGGCTCCAGAGCTGGCCACCACCACTGTGGTTGTTCCTCCTGGGGCTTCACAGGGTAAACAACCCCCACTGAGCCTCAAGGTGGCCTCACAACATAAACAGGATAAACATGACTCACTGAGCCCTGCGCCAGGCAGGGGGCAGAGCAGCTCCCCCAAGTGCTAACACCTGAAAATCAGCACAACAGGCCCCTCCCCCAGAAGACCAGCTAGAGGGACAGGGGAAAAACAAATTATTGACCAAGCAGCGCTGGAAAGTTCCAGAGGAAGTCAAGGGACTTACAGTATACAGAATCAGAGAATACTCCGTGTTTTTTGTTTTCTTAGGGTTTTTTTTTTTTTTGCCTTTTGATTTGTTTGCTACCCATCCCTTTTTTTCCTTTCTTTTTCTTTCTCTTTTTCTTCTTTTTTTCTTTCTTTATTCTTTTCTTTCTCTTTTATTTCCTTCTTTCTCTCATCTCTTTTTCTCCTTTTCCCAATACAATTGTTTTTGGCCACTCTGCACTGAGCAAAATGACTAGCAGGAAAACCTCACATCAAAAGAAAGAATCAGAAACAGTCCTCTCTCCCACAGAGTTACAAAATTTGGATTGCAATTCAATGTCAGAAAGCCAATACAGAAGCACTATTATAAAGCTACTGGTGGCTCTAGAAAAAAGCATAAAGGACTCAGGAGACTTCATGACTGCAGAATTTAGATACAATCAGGCAGAAATTAAAAATCAATTGAATGAGATGCAATCCAAACTAGAAGTCCTAACGACAACGGTTAACAAGGTGGAAGAACGAGTGAGTGACATAGAAGACAAGTTAATGGCAAAGAGGGAAACTGAGGAAAAAAGAGACAAACAATTAAAAGACCATGAAGATAGATTAAGGGAAATAAACGACAGCCTCAGGAAGAAAAACCTATGTTTAATTGGGGTTCCCGAGGGTGCCGAAAGGGACAGAGTGCCAGAATATGTCTTTGAACAAATCCTAGCTGAGAAGTTTCCTAATCTGGGAAGGGAAACAGGCATTCAGATCCAGGAAATAGAGAGATCCCCCCCTAAAATCAATAAAAACGTTCAACACTTTGACATTTAATAGTTAAGCTTGCAAATTCCAAAGATAAAGAGAAGATCCTTAAAGCAGCAAGAGACAAGAAATCCCTGACTTCTATGGGGAGGAGTATTAGGGTAACAGCAGACCTCTCCACAGAGACCTGGCAGGACAGAAAGGGCTGGCAGGATATATTCAGGGTCCTAAATGAGAAGAACATGCAACCAAGAATACTTTATCCAGCAAGGCTCTCATTCAAAATGGAAGGAGAGATAAAGAGCTTCCAAGACAGGCAGGAACTGAAAGAATATGTGACCTCCAAACCAGCTCTGCAAGAAATTTTAGGGGGACTCTCAAAATTCCCCTTTAAGAAGAAGTCCAATGGAACAATCCACAGAAACAAGGACTGAATAGATATCATGATGACACTAAACTCATATCTTTCAATAGTAACTCTGAACGTGAACGGGCTTAAGGACCCCATCGAAAGGCGCAGGGTGTCAGACTGGATAAAAAAGCAGGACCCATCTATTTGCTGTCTACAAGAGACTCATTTTAGACAGAGGGACACCTACAGCCTGAAAATAAAAGGTTGGAGAACCATTTACCATTCAAATGGTCCTCAAAAGAAAGCAGGGGCAGCCATCCTTATATCAGATAAACTAAAATTTACCCCGAAGACTATAGTGAGACATGAAGAGGGACACTATATCATACTTAAAGGATCTATCCAACAAGAGGACTTAACAATCCTCAATATATATGCCCCGAATGTGG